CCCACACACCCCAACCCAATACACACCAATCCCATCTCCCACCCTTTGTAGAAGACTGGCCCGACGGAGTGTTTGCCACAAGGACGACTATGCACTTGGCTGTGAATTTATGGTGACAACATTGCCAGAGACTGCACCATGGTCCATTCTGGGCTTTGGTAGATGCCTTAAGAGAAATGAATTAATGAATTGCGTGTCATTTCTGCAATAAATTTGCTTAAAATTATGTTGTTTACTTCATGCACATCCAATCCTATGATCCCTCTTATTTGTGTTAGGTTGGTACCGCTAAGTGGAGGGAATGTCTAAAAACCAGTGAACACCGCTCATAACCAGTAGATCGCTAGTATCTCCCTGAATTGAATTGAATTGAACTGAATTTGATTGAATACATCTCACCTTGTTCACTCTAGAAAGTCTCTTTGACTTTAGCCCACTCAAAAAGGCTTTTTGCACACAAAAAATGAGTGACCTCCTGTTAAGGTTTACCTTTGAAGAATGGTTCTGCTTCTACATATCGGGAGATCTTTTCCCATACCAATTATTTGGTGGACTACTCATGCATTTGTATATTCCTTCAAGGTACCATGTTTGACCTCGATGTTCCAAATGCTTCTGTGTACTTACCATACTGTCACAATTAGTAAATTCCGCTTTCATTTGAGAGAGCTCATTACAATGTTCCTTCAACAACGGAAAGGATTTGCTAGTGTGAGTTGCTTACCCTGCAATGGGGTAGTCAATGACATCAAAGAAATCCACAAACTGGGTGAACCAGCTGTGTGGGCTGGGGCCCATCCGGTGTCGCAGGGTGGCTCCTCGGAGGCCAGCAGCCACACGGAACGTCTGCAGCACACACTCAGCCATCACAAAAAGCAATCAACACAACTTCCTAAGGCACTAGTGTAACAACCAACACAGTAAAACTTCACTTATATGTTTTTCACATGACTGTATAGAAAAAATGTATGTAATATTACAAGCAAACCAAAAACTCAATATTTTAACATTGGTGTGCTCCACTCTAGAACCTGCTCACAGGAAATGCTACCAATGTTACTTTTGATTTATATAGTCAAAGAACAATGAAACTTTATAGGACGTATGGGGTGAAGTAGCATCTGCACACATTTTCTTGAGCCTCCAGAATCTCTTCTTAACATTTGAACTGTTAGAATAGTTTTACGATGAATAAAAGTTTAAAAAAGCAAACTTAGCAAAATTTAAAACTGAGATATTTTTCTCCAGAGTTGTAGAAAACATATTGGTATCAGTAAACAAACTACATTTAATTTTTTTTTTTTTTAATTGCTAACAAAATAGAAATATACCCCCAGCTCTACTCCCACCACTTCTCGCAAAAGGTTGACACATCATGCGCAGCATGCTCAGCAATGGATCACGGAAACTGGACAAAAACCTGATAGACTGGAAGCTGAAGCATATTACTTGTTACAAGTTACTGACCCAGAAGTTGAAGGACATTACTTGTCACTTAGAAAACACATGGGCCACGAATCAGCATAACCAAAGAAAAAGATACACACACAGACATAGATTCACTCTTTATGCAGCAAGTCCATTAAACGAGAGTCTCACAGGAATTGCGTTGATGTGTGTCCGAAATTCCGAAATAGAGAGTTGAAACCAGATGAAACACTCTGGATAGGGACGTAATTTAAAAATCTGAATGCTGAATTCAGCACAAAAATTCCATGGGCTCCTCTAAAAGACTGCCATCGTTCTCACTCATTGGTCACGTATGTTGTTATTATTTGGGCATTAAAGTGACTTTCAGTATCAAACTATAAGCGTGAAAAACATTTACGTGCAAAACATATAAACAGAGTTTCACTGTATATTGATGGTGTTCGGATAGAGAAATTTAAGTCTTAAAAGTTAGGTCATAGTAAAATTAAAAAAAAAAAAGATTCATCTCATAATTGTCAAGCAACAAATATTTCACTTATATGAAAATCACTATATTTTAATAGTAAATTTTGTGCTGAATAACTACTTAAACAACATAACTTGATATTTGCTCAAGCAAAGGGAAATAAAGAATGCAGTGCAAGGCAGAGCACCTTCAGGTGGTGGAGGCTGTCTTCCAGCTCCACCTTAATGGCAACACTCAGCATGTCCTGATCCGGGGCTCCTGGCGTCACAGTGGCCCCTGGCTCCGAGTGGTAGATGGTCGCCTGCAGGTGAGCAGGAGGCACAGCGCCCACCACGGGCAGCACCACTGGCTCCTGCGGGTTGGCCACCAGTCCTGCAACACAAATCCAACACACCTAGACACCAGTTCACTTTCAAACTGTTGGCTCAGCCATTTACAAAGGACAGAAAAGAAGATTTTGTTATCCACCTGCTATACAAACACAAGGGAGACATTTCCTGGTGCACAAATAGTTCATTGTTGCTTGTTACTGTGCTACTAGTGTTGCATAAGTACAAAGCTCACTGAGATAATAGCAATTCTGCACGAGGCTTGTTCACCCAGAAAGAGAAGAAGTTAACACTCACCGTTGTGGTAGAAGGCTGCCTGACGCACCTGCAGGCAAATGTAGCCTAGGCCTGGCCTGCCCCTGTAACCAGACACAGAGAAGAGGCTGCCCTCCTCAAACTGGATCAGCAGCTCCCCGTGCTGCCCAGGAATCACATTGCCCCCTGAGTCCTGCAGCACAACAGACATAGGATCAGGTCTCCAACATGCAGAGGTACCCTAGAGTTGAGATAATACATACACATCACAAGGCAAGTTAATTTTCAAAGTGAGCCAAGGGTTAAACTTCATAGTTCATTAAAATTAAATGTGGATCCTAAGGGTTAATGTTCACATTGTCCCCTACACACACTTTTATTATGAAATAAATGAAACAATAAATAGCTGATTTTATTTTCCCCAAAATAATTTTTAATTAAAATCTTCAAAATCTAATATTAATAATAAATATATTGTTAAAATCCCATCTTCACTTATTTCAATGAATAGTAATTCAGGTAATATCTTCAGCCTCACCCTCACAGGAGTGAACACACTCAGCGCGCCCTGCCCAATGGCCAGCGACAGGGCTGTGTGGCTCTGCCGGCTGCCAGTCCCTCCCTCTAGTTGCTGGCGCCGCCGCTGCCTCTGACGCTGTTCATACACTGAATAGTACACCCCCTCCGCATCCTCAGAGTCAGAGTCTGATTCTAAAGACAAACAACAATGAGCTTTTCAATATACTAACATTAAAAAATAGGATCTCTCAAAGTGATAAAATTATAAATTACTACTTTACAGATGAACTCTCACCTCAATATGTTCTAGACTTCTGAAAATAAAAGACATCCAAAAAATGGCCTCTCTCAAAAAGAGGATGTGATGTGCTAAGAATCCAGGCAAAGCTGGCTACTGCAGTTAATTCCTCACACACTCACCATACTGGATGCCTGACTTGCACATGCTGAACGTGGTGTACAGGGTGTCCTGGAGGAAAGTGGACAACTCTACGCCCGCTGCAGCACGCACACCATACCCATCTGCAGCGGAAGAGCCTGCAGGCTGAGGCTTGGGGGCTGAAGGTTCCCAAAGGAACATGTCAGTGTTGACGCGATTGTAGATCAGTTCATAGAGGTGCTTGGAAGGCAAGTGAACGGAGGCAGATGGAAGGCTCATCTCCAAGTGCAGCCGAGTGCTCTGCGAAGCGTACTCCATGAACGAAGCCATCTCCTGCTTGTCGCCTGCAATGCAATCGGAGCAATGTGCACATTTCCCTTGTGCTCTACAGTAAGGAGGTACTCTGCAGTTCCGTCTATATCGGAACACTTCTCCACACTCCTTCAGGAGCGTTGAATGCTTGGAGTAATCCTCCGTTAAAAAGCGCCCTCTAGAGGCCGCTGTATTGTCAAGTCACTTCAGTCATAGTCACGTCAGGGAATAGCCGACAGGTAGCATCTTCGCACTCGCGTCTCACACGCGCCCTGCAACATCTACCCATCGGCCAGAAATGGGAAGGAATAAGGATTGGGGTAAAGTATAGAATGATTCACAGGGGTTGGACTAGCCCTTGTGAAGCACAAAAACTTGTTTTGTCGTAACAAAACGAGTTTGCATGCTTGATTCAGTACGAACAAAAAACATTCACAACAGAACTTGTTATTCTGAACTTTAATTGTTACGCTTTAACTTTAACATTGAATATGTGATATATTCAATGATGATTCCTGTGTCAGTTTGCCATTCAGTTTATTAAATCATCCAGTTGCAACAATCTCGAGAAACATGAAATATCAGCATCTAAAATCAGCATTTTTGGTTCTACTCAATACAACTTCTACCCACAGCATTCACAATCCTTCAGTTATTTTTTTATTGCTACTTATTTGTTTAAAATTCAAACATGTAAATTCAAATTTCAAGTAAAAGAAACTCACAGAGAAACAATTTCCATTCAATACAATTCATCTGAGCCCACAGAGCTGTCAGTTAAATTTCTATGTTATCAATATATGTATACTACAAAAATTAATTTGAATCTTTGGACACACATTCCTTAAAGAGATTCCTATTTCATGTGATGTTTACAACTATTATAATCTGCAAGAATAACCCATAATTATTTCCAAACAGTAAGCATTTTTTATCAAACTAGTCTCACAGAAACTATTTTAATTTTCTTCTAAACTCCTTAATAGCCAAATTGATGGTAAGTACTTGTTGTCAAATCAATATTGGATGGTTCCTTCACATAATTTGAAAGCCCCTAATTTTAAGATTTTTTTTGTAACATTTGCGTCTTCTGATTTGTGGTTTAATGATTGAGAAAGACAATGCATGAGAGTATAATGAATGATTTTAAAATATATACCATTATCAGTTTATCTTAAAAATCATTAAATACTGTCACCAAACAGCAGATATTGTACAAATCTGATAAACTTCGAAATGGTTTGTACCGTAAGTGAATATCTACAAGCCAATTTTCTTAAGTTTTGGATGAGGTTGGTATAATTAGGCAACTGCCTGTATTTTTTATAAAATAAAGTAAAAATGAAATTATTCAATATTCAACTAAAGAATTTATACAATAATTTATAATCTTGTCATTATATTTAATAGATGCATTTATAAAAGTTATAGTGACAGGTGAAATTATTATGTGCCATACTACAGAAGTAGCATTTACACAGAGACGCACATATTCCAGTAATTAAATATCGAGGTATGAACAACTTTTATGAACTTTTAAAAGAGAGATTTACATTAACTTCAGTCTTGTTCAAAATTTTCTCATAGAAACACTTCTTTAGAGTATTTCGAATTCAGTTTCTGAATTTTTGCATTTTCCTTGGTGAAAGGAACTTGGGATGTGCCTGAGGTACCTGGGATGATGAGTTCCTCCCCAGCTGCTGTCGCGTTGCCAGCTGACTCTGGTTGGCCAGAGTGCTGCTTCGCGCGGCTGTGCGGAGTGTCGCTCTCATGGACCACGCGCTTGGAGCTGAAAGGTGAGGGCTCCGGAGGGCCCCTGTCCATTGGGTGGTCCATGGACGAATGCCTCATGCTGCCCTCGTCACTGTCCTGGTCCATTGCATCCTCCAGCTCACCAGCCGGAGCCTCCGGAAACACAGTCACCACCAGCCTAGGCCAGCCAAAGCCCTGGCCCCCGTCCGGCAAAGAGTTGCCATTTTTGTCATCAGCAGATGCTCTTGCAAAGGTCACGGGCGTTTCAGTATCTGCCTCCTAAATAACCACGTGAACAAGGTGTTTGTATTATCAAGCACTGCTGATAACACTGTCAACCTAGTTGCAACTGTACGTTAAAGTACACATCAAGATCTAAATCTAAACTACACAAGGAAAGAACAGCTTATCAACAATGGTTTAGGAAGACTTGTGTATTAAGAGCAGACTTGACACAATTCATCACAAAATTGCAAGTAAAAGTAATATCAGATGGGCATGTAAACTCTGGATGCTCCTACAGAGGGTCATGCAGTACACTATACAATTAATAAAAATATTTCATTTGCACTAAAAACTCCAACATAAATGAAATGCTCTCTTCTGAATGTCACAAATGAGCAAAAATCAAGGATAAGATTATTTTTTTTAAATATTTAAAAATTGTTCATAATCTCATCTCTATTTCAGAAAAATAACATTGCACAAGGTACATCATTACAATAGTTTTTCCATTTGATGTAATGTTAGATTGGTTTGTATTTAAGTACGATATGCAATCAGTAAGTCAATAGATATGAAACTCAGTGGAGGTAACAGAACTAAATTAAGGAATGGCCATTCAGACAAAACACACTGACTTGCCCTTCCTTTTTTCAGAGGAATCCACCACAAAAACATACATCAGAGAACAATTACAGCAATGGCTTCAATATGATTTTCAAAGCCATATTAAAATAATTAAATTAATAAAAAAGGTCTATATTGAGTATATTCACATCAAATTCTTACTAACAATTTTGTTGTAGATTATGTTTTCAATCAGAAATCCCTGTGTTTTAATAACCATATCTTATGTTGATCTCTTTGTCTGTATTCTCATTTGTGAAACATTTTAAACTTAATATTACTGAGTATAACTAAAAAAGTGAGATACATTGCACATTCTTTGATACAACAATACATGGTTATACAATATTTCATCTATAGATGATTTATTTTTAACTGAACAAAAATGCCCATTGTCTTTTACAATTAAAGAAACAAAATTTTCTGCCACTACAAATTACTTTACTATTTTACCTGGAAAAGACCATGAACCTCTCGGCACTGGATCTCGTACCGCTGACTAGCTTCGTGTGAATCCATAGTTGTGCTGAAACTTGCATCTGTCAATTCAAAGGTGAGAAAGTCTTTCCGCACAGACCGTTTCCACCAGGGCGGACGGTCCATGTCGTGGATGGGTCGCAAATCTGGGGTGGGGAACCTTAACTTGAGCGAAAGGAAAGGAGAGGACACTTTGATGCTCGTCTTGCAGTCCGGAGAAGAGGGCGCTTCCACAGCCTGGTAGAAACCCGAATGCTGATTTACTCCACTCTTCCCACCTGACATTGCAAATTTGTTCACATTCCTCCTACACAAAGGTTGTGGATTTAGAACTGCCGTAATCCTGTCTACAATTGAAACATCAATTTCACTAGAGCACGTCTGCAGAGCGATGTAGATGTCAGTCCGTGGGTGCATAGAACGCTTGTTGTGACCTTGGTGTACCACACGTTCATGGAACTTGTATTGCAACCTCAAGCTGGGCTCCCCAGGAAATCCCTGTCCGGCATTGTCCTCGCAGCCTGGGAACTTGAGAAGCTCCACGTACTCCACCTTCAGCTGCTGTGCGGAACCCTTGTCCACCAAGCACTCCAGCAGCTCCAGGTGCATGGCGGTCAGTGTGCCAGAGAGCGCACAGCCCTGCGCAGTGGCACGCTCACTGCCCTCCATCACCACAGGGGCGGCTAGCAGGCGAATGTGGTTGAGGTGGCATGCACCCAGGAAGACATCTCTAGCAGCCACAAAGTCCTTGCCTCCAAATGATGAGGACCCAAACTGCCCAAGGCCCTGCACATGCAGCATTTAAAGGGAATGAACCAACCAAAACATATGATCGTATTTTCTTATCCAAAGAATTCTAAAGCAAAAACTACAATGCCTAAAAGTGATTCTAGTAACCAAAAAGTTGTTTTGTGAAATTTTTATTCCCATTTATCAAATCAGAAATTATTTTTCTAGATGCATCATGGACACATACCTTTGATCCTGTCCTCAACCATAGACCAGAAACGACCCAAACATTAACTCTAGCAAACATACCTCTAGAAATAATTGTCCAATTACATAACCATGTTCTCTTACCCCCTCCTCTCTAACCCAGACTTTCAAAGACAATGTCAGCTGAATTTAATATTTTTTTGTGTGAACCTAAGGCAAAGGTTTTGTAGAATGGATTCCCTGCCTCATGTTTAATATTAGTTTTTTATGACGAGTTCCTCCAGTAAGCCCACAGGGTGGCTCACTCAAGATGCTCCCTTCAAAGCCTGAACAATTACACATTTACCAAAGCAAGTTACCCAAATCAAATGTTTGTGAGGGGCATGTAAGATGGGTATAATATTAGACTGTACCATTTTTTAATTTAAGAGAGACACAACTTCGATTTTTTAAAGGGAACACTAGATTTCTTTAGCTCATAAAGAGACATGTTCAAACATATCCAAATTTCCCTGCGATACATAACATTTTTCAGAAATTTAGTGTTTTTACAAACATTAATATTCTACCTTTTCTACAGTGAAACGTGCCTCAAAGCAATTTTGTTTGGTTGCATTTGCCCTGCAGGTGGGAAAATATTATCACCAAAATATCACGAAAATATTAACACCAAATCCAGCTTGGGGAAGCCACAAAAAACGTGCATCAAGTGCTTCCAGACTACTCTTTTGCAGCTTACAGTCAATGTATACATTCACAAATATGATCTTTGAGAGAGTTGGTCAAAAATATGAAATAAATAACAATTAATAACTATTAGTTATCAATTATTATTATGTACAGGGTCACAAGCAGCCTGCAATATGCATGTTTGTGGTCACTGCAAAGAAAACGACTGGACCACATATTATCTTGCTCAAATTTACAAAGGTTAAAAAGGTGAAGGTTAAAAAGACAAGCAAGATAATATATAATCAAAATGAATCTCTCAGGCTAAATACATGCTGTTTCATTAGTAAAGATTAAATAATTAATAAATAATTACATGAATGTTCATTATATCTTTTATACGTATTTCCTTCTGGATAGATGTTAGTCCTACATTTTTCTTCAGAACACTTTTTTCTTACACTAACACATCATTTTAAAACAGAATGAGAAACATTATAGTTGTTATTGGTATTGTGGTGAGTTTTCGTTGGCATTTATAATGAAATAATTATGAGTTGTCATTGCCCACAATATTGTTTATTATAAGAGCAGCCTTTCAAGGCTTAGCCATTATCACGTTTTCTAGTACAAGAAAAAACATTAAAATGTCAAAAAACATCATCATAGATTACTAATAATTTATAATTTAGAAAATAGAATTAACATTTTAAGAATTGAAAGAAAAAAAGGGGGGTGTTAAATCATTTAATATCACAAGAAAGTGAATAAAATTGAATTTGAACCTGTGAAATATTTGAAGCAGAAATCAAGAAATGTAAGTTAAGCCATTTCTAACCCGGTGTATGGAAGCCACAAAATGACTACGCAGGCTCAGGCGAGCCAAGGGGTTTAAGTACTCGGCTGTGGGGTGGAGGAGGGTAATGGCTTCGGAGCGGTGCGTTGTCTACTGTCCCACCACAGAAGAGTACTGCTTCAGATACTGTCCTCCCATGCCCCTTAATAACACTCACATAAAACAGTTACATGCCAAAGCTGACATGCATCAATTTTCACAATATTTCCATCGAGACCAAATATGACATAGCTCACATCTTTGAAAACCAGAATCCATCACAAGATACAGGAGCAAGGTAAATTCTGATTTTCACCATGCCCAACAACTTGCCAAAAAACTCACAGAAGAAGAATTAATCATATGTAAAGCAGACAAAGGCAACACAGAAGTGATTGATAAAAATGAATACAACCACAAAATCTCTGACTTTTTTTAACAACAACCAGGTTGAAGCACTTCCCAATGATCCCACCAAGAAGTACCTTTGCCAACTTAAGCAAGAACTTAATAATTCACAAGTATGTTTCTGTATCCAAAACAATGCATACCATCTAACCCTTCTCCTCCTACACTCTATGGTCGTCCTAAATTACGTAAAAGAAAATACTCACAACAGAACCGTAGTCTCTTACACAAACACATTAACACAAAAACTCACCCATAAATTAAATAGCCTCAATTCAAACCTTCATAAATTTAAAAAACAGCCTCGCTCTAGTACAGAAAATTCAACACATTCCCGTTCCAGCCTATGCTAAACTAGTTTCATTTGCTGTAAAGAATCTCTTTCCTAGTACTCCGACTTCTGATTGTAAATTACTTCTATGTAATTTACTGGACAAATCATGTCCCACACCCATTCCTGATGAACTCAAAAATCTCATCAACAACATTTCACCACAAATTTTACACACAAACTTCAGGAATTCCTATAATCTCGCCACTCTCTCCTCTTCTTGCAGATATATTTATAAACGCATTTGAACAGACCATCTTCCTTTCAAATAATCCACTTCTCTAGAACATTACATATTGGCACTGTTATGTAGACATCATCCTTGTTCTCTGGACCGGTACCATTAGACAAATTGGCCAGTTTATTGACTTCCTCAACAACATACATCCTACTATTCAATTCACCACAGAACTACAGAAAGAAGACCAATCAATCAATTTCCTAGTTCTGAATATAAGCATATCTGGAAGCAAATATACTCTCAATATTTTCAGAAAATCAACGTGCAGAGACATTGTCAACCACAACTCTTCACAATACCCTATTCAATATAAACATTCTGCCTTCCTCTACATGAAACACAGATTACTAAGCCTGCCCCTGACAAAATGTCAGTTTTTGGAAGAACTAAATACTATACAACAAATTGCTATTTCAAACGGTTACAGCACAAACTCATTAACAACATACTACGCCGCAAAGTACACAAACAAAAACAGAAAATGTACACTACACTCTTTACAATAACATAAACCCAGACAAATACACTTGCTTACCTTATTTTGGAACCCTTTCAGAAAAAGTTGCAAACAGTATACAAAGCAGGTACCAAAGTTTCAATCAAATCTCAGAAAAATGCTGTCCACCAAACAACATACAGATCTTTTAGAAAAAAGTGGGGACTAATCACTACATTGCCATGACTGCAAAGCCAAATAAATTAGCCAAATAGGCAGAACTCTTAACACCAGAATTAAAGAACATATACATGCATGGAAACACAACTCCTGTAAATCTCTCTTTGCCAATCATCCAGCCAGGCCATAAATTCAATTCTCGCAGATACAGTATTCGTATATTGAAAATTGAAAATAAACACTACCAGATTAACTTTAGAAAACCTCCATATTCATTTAAATAATAACTTACTGAATGAAAACATAAACCATAGCCCCTCTCCTGTACTAAAATTATTATTAGAAACCCCTCCCACACCACTCTATCGAGGCAGCATAGTAGACAGTGCAACACACCCAGGCCATTACACTCCACCCCACAGCTGGGTACTTAAGCCCATTGGCTCACAAGAGCTTGCATAGTGGTTTTGTGGCTTCCATACATTAGATAAGAAACGCTTCAATATGCATTTGTGTAATGTATGTAAATGTAACAACTTCAATTTCATAATTTCTGTTTCAAAAATTTCAGAGGTTCAAATTCAATTTCATTCACTTTCCTGTAATATAAAATGACTTAACATTCCCCACTACTTTCTTTCAGTTCTTAAAATGTTAATTCTATTTTCTAAATTTTAAATTATTAGTAATCTATTTATTTGTATGTTTATTTTTGACTCTCGTTTTAAATTTATTTTTTTTGTTCTAGAAAACTGATGATGGTGATGGCTAAGCCATCAAAAACAGCTCTTATAATAAACAAAGTTGGCAATGACGACTCATATAATTATTTCATTATAGTTGTTGATCAAAATGCTCTGAGCCCTGTACAACTTTGTAAAAACTGCAATACAGGGCCACAAGTTAAGCACCATACATCACATTTCCAAGGTTTCAAGTCAAATGGATCTTTAAATCATATTGTCTGAAGGAATCAACAACTACAAAACCAATAGAATGTCTGACAAATACTAAATATTCAAGAATAATGTTAAAAACTTGTTCAACCTCATATCTCCATCAACAATAAAACTCAATGTTCCTTGGAAACAAATTGAAATTAGGAATAAACTTTCTCAAAGTGACTGACCTTTAGAAACATCTGTGATCACTTAACTAGCATTAAACATCACAAGAGGATGTTCATTTACGTCATCCTGAGGGACTGCATGTTCTCAGCAATTGCAATATCTCATAGAGAACGGTGTACTATTCTAGGCTTTTAAGTGCTTAGAGGATAGTTCAGGCTTGCTTCACTAAAAATGGCATTTACACTCTTAACACTGAGTTTGTGTCTATTACATGCGGGATTATATGGCTTATTATGTGTTTAAATTTGAGGAGGTGCATTTGATGAGCGTGAGATTTTGAGGTTTTAGTTTTGTTATATTGTATTTTGTATCTTTTAGTTCCCCATAAACTCACTAAATTGAAAAGCACTCCTCATCCATTACATTAAATGAACCAAACATTGGAATCCATAGAAAGAGAGAAGAGAATGGCTGATGGAACCTGGAAAAAGTTGTCTGCCGTTGCCTTCATCTGCTGCACGGAGGAGCGTGCCAAGCTGCCATCTGAGCCAGGGCCAGAGCAGGGGGTCAGCACGTCCTCATGGAGCAGCACCAGCGCCAGTGATGCCAAGCGCAAGTGGAAGCGACTCACCTCCGTCACCCCCATCTCCGACTCCAGCAGCCCATGGCCAGACCCCCCGCTCCCTGTGCACACATTCACACATGCCCATTCGGGCAATGCTGCTTTCAGTTACAGTTACCAAAAGATGTAAGATTTCTTGCACATAATAAATTCATTGTTACAATCAAATTATTTTAATTAGCTTAATTCTTACCACTCTCTGTAATTTCGTCATGTCACTTTGCAGTTTACCGAGTAAAATAAGGTTTATGAGACATAAATGTAACTGAACATTTCGGTTCAATGCTATTTATTTCATGTTTTAAACTGCATCAATTTATATTTAAGAAGAACCATAGCATTCAAATCCTGTCCCTGTTATTGGTCTCAATAACAAACATCACATTGAATTCCAACACCTCTACTACCTCTACTGCCCACTCACCTTTGTGTGCCTTCTTCCGAGGTGCATGCGCAAAGGCTCCACTTTGAGCAAAGGAAGCACAGGGGGTGGAATACCTAGCAGCACACAAAATACATTTAGGAATCGCAGCACCATTATTTATTTATCTCACAATAAAGATAGAATGTGGGCCATTCAAATACACTGCGTACAAAACATATATTAAAAATTAGTTGCCTTTTATATAAATAAAGATTTATGATGTTACTCTAGTATATAGAAATACAACAGTTGAATCTGTATCATTCTGCTTTAGTGCACAGCTCTACACTACAGTTGTGAGTTTTAATCCCTGAGAATTCACCTCCTGGAAGAAGTAAACAAGGGGTTACAACCCCTTGTAATCAGCTCAATTATGCTGAATACTTAACAAAAAGGTTTGCTACAGATCTTCTGCAGAATATGACGCCATATCAAAATAATCATTAGTTATTTTGATTTTCTAATCAAATATAATTTTGATAATTTTTAAAGAAATATTAGGAACTCAGTTGGGTGGGGGGGGGGGGGGGGAGAGAAAAAATTCACTCTTTGTTCATCTTCACTTTGATCATAATTTTCGGTCATAATTGTTTCATGGTGAGCCAATGAAAATACCTAATCCAAATCAACATTTCTCACTTCACAACAGCCCAGCAGAATCTAGTAGGAGCCTGCTGGGCCCCAGGAGCGGAAGAGACAAGTGGAGGGGAAAGCAACTGATTACCTGCTGACCTGGCCAGGGAAGAGCAGCACAGGAAGGAGATGGCAGGGAACAGGGAAGAGGATACGCGCACCACGAGAGGCAACCGCTTGGCAGGCCAGTGTATCGGCATACACCTGCACACCATAGCCCAAACTCCCTTCACCACTGCACTCGACAGGCAGTTGTGTTAAGCAGTTGTGCAAGGGGCCTACAACACCGTCTCTGTTATTTGCATGGCTTGTGCCTTCAGATTCCTACCCAGGGAGGCAGTTTGTTCTCTTTAAGAGAAGCAAAATCAAATTTGACCAGTGGAATTTTCTTGGAAAGACTCCACCTAGACCATCAACTGGCGTTGCACCATTCAGAGTGCATAGTCATTACAGAGGGTGTGTTATGACGTATAATAAAAACCATTAACATACCTGCCTCAAATAATGCAATTTCCCTCTAAAGTCACCAAGTAATTTTGAATATATTTAATTACTTGAAAATTAGGAATTAATGTTGGTTATTTATGCATTCTTCTAACTGAATCATTACTTTGACATAGATCATTTCTAACATTTTGAAAAAATTAAATTTTGTGTGCAATTGCAGATTCTGTGAGACCATTCACATGAAACTTTCCTGCACAACTCCTTAAGGGTTCTTTCTTACTCAGAGTATTTTCTATGGTTAATGTAACAATCATTTGTTAAGAGTGTGTTATGAATAGTTCCAGACTGCTTCTGAAGTTATATAATAAAAAACAAACGAGTTTTAGATAGTCCATCATTCACCAATTCAATATCCAATACTCACCAATTCATTAAAAATTTATTATTTGGCATTTTAATAAAAAAAGTTCTTAAAAATTGATCATTAGGTTTTTGTTATTTATCTTCCTTCAAAGCTGAATCATTATTTTGACACAATTTGTATTCTGCATGCGTTCACATTAAATATTTGTACAGAGTGGCGGACCCTACTTTACATTCTCTTGTGGTGAAGCATTCTCCATCATAATTTGTTAAGAGGACGTTATGGTTATAAATATTTTTGAAGTTATTTAATAAAAAACAAATAAGTTTTAAACAGTTGCCTTAAACAATTCAATTTCCATATTAACACTCACATAACCATTGAAGTATGTCAACTCACATTCACACTCCCATCATCTGATTATCTGCCTGCCCTTGTACTGTAAATAAATAAATATATTCTTAATTACATTAGTAATTCTGAATTATAATGCCAATGATATAAATTGATTGACAGACCTGCCTCATCATCATCATCATCATCATCATCATCATTATTATTATTATTATTATTATTATTATTATCATTATTATTATCATTCACTAATTTGCAAGCATCACTGCCTGAAATGTGGACTTCTTGTACATCTCCAAGGTTTCATTGCCCAGCTTTTCTTTCATAATGTATAAAAGAAGTTTATCTATTTAGTGGTTGCTGCTATTTTCTTTGCAAATGTAGTTCACCTGGTGGCCCAGCAGGAGCACCAACATTGTACAGCTTTTGTGCTCATTTCACTAACATTAAATTTAAGATCAGCAAGAGCAGTGCAAAGGAAGATGCAATAACTGGAGTATTTTCCACTAATGCTCTCACTCAAAAACAGCAAGTTAATTTTTCCTCACAATCACTTCCTTCAAAAATGCTTCAGCTTTGTGAATGTCTTAGCTCATTTCACACTTACTGACACTTACAAGTGATTTCCTTTGAACAGAAAGTAAATTTCTGCACTTGAACTTTCTTCTGAGAGGATGAGCTAACAACTTCTAAAATTCCTGTATACATTCAAACAAATGCCAAACACTCATCTCATATACTACACACCACCAAAAGAGCAACACTTGACGTGACATGCATCCATCACACCCTTTACCCTTTACACATTGCCAGTAAACTAATCAAATTGATTATCGAAACTTTTTCTAACTAGGACGCCTTCTCATGAATGGAGTTGTTGATATTACTGACATTTCCCAAGATAGAAAAGACTGGAGGTGCCATATTATTTATTGTTCTACTAAAACTAAAATAGTATGGTAAAGGAAATAATCTCCACAAAAGTTTTTCTTTCTCCAAAAAAAAAAAAAAGCTACCACCACGGAATTTAAAACTAAAATGTCATCTACATTTCTAAGGAAGGCAACAATCAAATCTGTTTTCCAACAATCACTCAGGTAATTTAAGAAGACTATTGAAATGCTCTGAACAAACACTGATATCGGAAAAGTAGAAAGCTCAACTTGAACAGTTGATATATTTATGCTGCCATTACTTTTTCAGAAACTGGTTTCAATACAAGCGAACAATAAACATCATTCTGCAGCATAACTATGTAGAAATTACAAACCAACTTGCTCTGAAATTCATGAAGCAGTTCTCAGTATCAGAAAATCAGCCCAGCAGCCACCACCCTCTATCCCATTAACCCTCCCAAATTGTCACAGCCTCCATGGGCTTTGAGCTGAAGGCAGAGGCGTATGGCAGACATGGCATGTGCCACAGGCGCCATTCATAAGGAGCGCTATTTACAATATATCCACTAACAACAAACCTTATTTGAAGGATCCTGCCAGAGGTGCAAATTCTATGCTTAGCACGGGCACCTAAATACCTTATGTGCCTCAAGTTGAAGGGAGTTCCTTGACTTTTCCGAAGTTTACCACATAAATTTGGATATTTTCCATGACCATATTCCAAAGGACATTACAATGTATTTGAACAAAATACTCTTATGTAATTTTTATGATTAAATTATTAGAATCTTTACAATCCTGGTAGAATCAGACAGAAATTGAAATACAGTCTTCAAGTATCTTCACAGGTGGCAATTATTTTATAAATAAAAATCAGGATTATGTTGAATTACAATGGAAAGAATTTCTGTGACCTTGCGCACCTGTGAGACCCTTTGCCTGCAGCGCTGCTGGCGGATGAGCAGGTGGATGCAGCCATGCTGGAGGCCTCTGACATGATGCTCTCGCTCATCCCTCCGGCCATGGGTAGAAACTCCTCCTCGCTGTCACTCTCTTCTGCAACACAAGCCACGAACCCCTCAAACTGCTGCACATTTTGATTCATTGACTGATTAGGGATTCCTGGTATGCCAACTTCTAGAGTCATCAGCCCCATAAGTGCATGTTTTTTTCCTCGAGAGGTGGCAATGATCTTCCCCCTGCTGGATGGTGAGATCAGGTGCCAACCTACCTACCTAATATTCTAAAGGTTTACCCAAAATATTAGTAAAACTGATAGGCCTTTCCTGTAGAGTGAATTATGTTTTACATTGCCACTAACACAAGACAACAGAGTACCATTCCTATTGTACATCTAATAATTCCATACTAAAACTATATAAATTAATTAATGTCTATGAAATCAAATTAAGTGATACAAGACTAGGATGATTTAATGCAGTGATAAGTTAGTTCAGTTTTCTTCTGTGTGGGGGTTACATTTTTGATTTTGCCTACCTCCTTCTCATCGGCTACCTCTCATGGTATTGATGTACATGGTGGTAGCGGGAAGATACCAATCACCATACCAGAACATAACTAACAACCACACCTAAAATGGGATTCCAACTCATGGATGTAACATGTTTTGGCGAGCAATTCTCCATCCCAGTGTCATCAGGAGGAGTAAGAATATATTAAGAAAAGGGTCTGTAGAGCGCCTCACCCAGGGCAGCAGTGGACCAGCCCTGTGTGCCCTGCAGCCCCTGCATGGGCACATGGGCAGAGGGCAGCAGCTGCTGCTGAAGCTCCTGCTCCACGCGACGGAAGTCCACAGCCTCCATGGGCTTCTCCACGCAATGCACACGTGGGGCCACGTTGCTGCAACACAAAACCACCCTGGAGCCAAACGTTTAGACAGAGCAATATATGCACACACACCAACAATTTCTTATACATTTCACTGAAGGTGTACCTCAATAAAACCATCAAAAAACGAGAATTCACAATATAATCACCCTCATCATTATTTATGAATTCCCACAAAAAATGTTCGTTCTGGAGAAAACTAGGCTCTTTGGATGCTACCAGGCGTAAAATGCAACTACTTAATAATAATTTAACAACAATAATTTCAGGACACCTGAATATGTAATAAATTATTGAAAACTTGTCCACACAAGGAAATTATAGTGGATATCTAATGAATTAAATATCTCCCTCTCCCCCTCACACCACAAGAATTATTTATCTGTGTTCTATTAAACTAGAGACTTCTCTCTTTTCCTCCTGAATAAGTATCATTATGTCTTTCCTCCCACTGGATATTGGCACAAATAAAATAAAGCAAACACTCTGCTACCTGGTGTCTTCAAGGTCAGGGGCTGCTAACCCCTCCACCAGCTCCAAAAGCAGGTGCAGCTGTCGCGCGGACAGGAACAGCAGCAGCGACCCACACGACACCTCCAACTGCACCTTGGGCCCCAGCGCCACTTCACTCTGCTTCAGTCGAACACGCAGCTCCTGGCGCCCCACCAGCCGACCAAAAGCCACTGGGTCAGGCTCCTGAGCCAAGTTGCCTACGCCGGCTCCAGACCCCAAACCCCCTCCACCTCCACCTCCACCTCCAACACTGCGCTCACTGCATAGGAACAAAGCAATCAACAGATGCACAATTCACTCTTTTCCTCTCAAATATGTAATCTAGCTAATATTTCAATCTAGAACATATACATTTTGTTGAAGTTGAGAAGATGACAATTGATGAAATTTGGAAATGTTATTTAATAATACTTTAGTACAGGAGCTGGCCATTTGGAGCTATTTTCCCTTCCAATGACTTCCAAAGTTTAGAGCTTTTGCAAGGATCTCACTAATCTGTACCTGGTGCTCATGTCGGAGTGACGGGAACTGCTGAGGCTGTCTCTGTCGCCCAAGGGGCTGTGGCTGGAAGCTTCCATCTGCTTGGGCAGAGCTGCATCGGCTGGCACAGGAGAGCCTAGCACAGACTCCGACAGCTGCAAAAGTTTTCACACCAAGGGACTCCCTCAACTTCTGCTCTAATAAACACTCTTCTTTGTACAGTTGACCCATTTTTCTAAACATACCATCTGAAAGGAATTGCTACATTTATCTTTCCTAAAATGGTTTTACATATGGTGGACTTCCTTTTCCATTTATGAACCAATTCATAATTAGAGCACATGTATGCAAGGACTATTCTTGAGTCATTAGAACCTGGGCACTCGAGATTTAATCAATTATTTGTACCTCAATGTTCAATGCAATGGAAACTTATTGATACAGCAACTGTTGATAAGAACAATCGTATATTTTTGTTAATATTAAGAGAAACCTTTCATGGAGCACACTCAAAATGTTCTTCAGATAAGAGGTCTTCATAAGTAAGAGTTGGAGCCACACTGCCCAAGGTGGCCACTTGCTTTGCACTACACTAGACCATATTGCGACCCCTCCCCTCTCGTTTGGCTGACACAACAAGCATCAGGCCACTGCAAAGGCAAGTGGCTAGTTTACATGGCATCCATAAAGTTCTTGTTTTAATTAGGGCATCAAATCATTTCACTTTGTTTTGGTTAATACAATATTTTTGTTTAGACTTGAATTTCATATTTTGATAATAAAAAGTTTCAATTTCAATCTAAAAACCATTAAAAATATTTTCCTGTTTTTGAGAACATTTTTGAAATTAATGATAATCCCGTTTAAACTTCAATATATCAGAGTTTTCGATGATTTATTTCCTGATCAGGGCAAAAACATTTATAATATAAATAAAGAAACACTGAAAATATTTCTGTTATCTGCACAAAGCTCCTCTTCAAATGCAAACCCTCCATAAGGAGGAAAAAAAAATAATGCAGATATTTTAAAAACAGAAAGTGTTTCATTCAGTTCCAGTTCCAGCAGTATATTTAATGAAAGAATAAAGGTTTCAGTTTCAGTTTTTCTCTTACTAGTGAGACAGTTTTTAATAGTTTCAGTTTGATAGTATGGTACTTCAATCAACTTGTAATCAGTTTTCACACAACCAATCTTCCAACATGACAATATCTATTGCTGCCTTGATGAAATACAAATGATAAACTACCTTTGACTCAGGTGAAGAGCTGGTGGAGAGAGACATGACGGAGCGAGAGAATGTCCTGGCCCGCGAGGGAAACTCATCTGTGTACAACACCACGCCTTCAAGATAGAAGGCCTTAGTGGTAAAGGCTGCCACTTGGTACACCTTGTTAGCCTGGTGCAATTGCGGGTCTCCACTTGGAGGCGTAGGAGGGTCTGCCCCTGCCTCGTCAAAGTAGTCGATGCTGCACAGAAGAAACATGAGACCTCTGATAGGTTCACAACTTATTACATTCCAAAGAATAACATACTCTGCATGATCTTCAACTGAAATTACAAAGTAACAGGTTAACCAGTTGACTTTCTGCACCAAAAATCATTATTTATAATTGTTATTGTTATTACATTATTATTGTTGTTGTTATTATTTTTATTGTCGTTATTATTTTTATTGTCGTTATTGTTGTTGTTGTTGTTATTATTATTATTATTATTATTATTATTATTAATATTATTATTATTATTGTTGTTGTTATTACCTCCACACACAGATTTGTACTAGCAAAAAGGTAATATTTTGCATTACATTACATTGTAACACATTGTAAGGTTTGTTTTCTACACTAAAATTGCCAATTTATTTAATAATCACATACAGTACAATTTGTCTAACCCGGAATTGATCGGGACAAAAAAATATTCTGGTTTAAGGAGGTTTTCGTTTTACGCAGGGTTGTCTACTTTATGACACTTGTTTTATTGATATTTCCATTCTGAAACTAGTAAATTACACGACTATTATAATTATGGAAATATATTAACATATAAATTTATGGAAAAAATGACCAATAAATGAACATTAAACATATTTCTGACAATTAAAAGAAAAAACCTCACTACTTGTGGACCAAAATAATATTATTTTTTCCCTCTTTCATCTCCAGTTTTTTGGTTTTTGCTTTTTCCCCACTTACTAACACCTTTTCAATTGTGTTTTCTGGAATTGAAAAATTTTAATATTTAGGTTTTTATGGTATTCTTCAACCATTGTTAAACTGGTAGTGAAATTCATGAAACACACCACCTCACAGCAACGTGGCTGCAACGGGACTGCTCACCGTCTCTTTCAATGCACAATGCATCCCAACCCAGAGTACATGGCCTTGACCACTGGGGTCAACACAAGCCATGCCCATGCACCTGCCCATGCTCAAATTTTATGCTGCTAACTCACACCACTGTGCCAATTGCATTCAGTACACAGAAATTCCATTTTTGGAGACACATTTTTTCCTCTTAAGGCAAGTTTCTGACTTGTACATTTTCTGCTTTAGACAGATTTAACTGCATTATACTTCAATGAATTCATTCTCCTCTGATAATTTTTACCCACAACTATTTGTATGAAATTATACACTCCTTAAAATTTTAAGTCATTACACTCAAGATTTAAACAAAATATATCTACCCTAAAATTACCACTGATTTTATCTACCACTCAGGACCTAATAAAATAAAGAGGCAGGCACTATAGTACTTGTCTCTTTGTTTGATTAAATAAATCCTGTCTCAAAACACTTTATTGCACTGTTCATTTCCTCTGAATGCTAGACTTTATATTATCCTGCAAATCTGGTCTGTTTCTTTTCATCATAGGGCCAGTACCTTGGGAGACATCTTGACAAGTTCAGATAAGCAACACAAACTCAATGTATTGCGATGATTTTTCAGGGATTCATTCTCTAACAGTATTGTAATTAACCCTTATTAGTCTTACGTTAGATCAGATCATCAACATTTTTCTTCAATAAACTCTGAAGGTGCAAAGCAAAAAGCAATTCCCATGATGCAAAAACAGGGCTCGAGGACGAGACGGAAAGAGATGAACATTCATTCACATTAGAATGGAAGACAAACATCACAAATATAAGAACTCTGACAGAAGACAAGGGAAAAGGCTCAGTGGAAGTAAATTAATGGAAATTTTCAGAAAACCATCAATTCAAGGAAAAAAATAAGAGGGAATAACAAGGAAAAGGAAAGCCAACTTGTTTGTAGCTTACGTACTTGCGTATCCTCAGCTCCAGTGCCACGCCTGACACGCTCTCCTTGGGCACATGCTCTAGGCGAATGGTGGTGTTAACAAACTTCACCTTCACCCTGCTCAGAACTGTCACAAAATCAAACAAATCACACACATCATAGCAAGAGTCAAGCTTATAATCATTAAAAGTGTTCACAAAAAAATATTTTTGTTATGAAACTGTAATGTAGAATCTCCAATAAAATTTTATTTGCAGAAAATTTAGTTAACTTTTTTTATTTTATTCCTTTCTTACTATTCTTTCTTATTCTTTTCATATTTCCATTTTTATTCCTTCTTTTATTTTCTGTCTGCATTTCTTGTGATAAATCCAAAATTCATTCACAAATTCATTAAATTAATGAAATTATCCTGAGCATGCAGGTTAAGAGTCCCATCACAGATATGTTTCTTTTCCAATTCTCATTCAGAAGATTAACTACTGAATAATGAAGGTTCTACCAAATTTTCCTAGTAATTACTACGGCAAATGATGTCATATATCATGTTTGGAAAATGTTTTAAATACTTCATTACACATACAAATCTAACATTTCATGTGATTTCATAGAGTTTAAAAAATGTACTGCCTAAACACACTCAATGTAACATGGCTATTAGTTTTTGGTGGAAATAAAATTAACTCATTGACTTTACACTCCCATGCCCAGATAATATTTCAAGTAAGATAATTTGAAAATTAACATTTAATTCTAAAATATATATAAAAACAACAACAAAATATCCAATTTTTTGCATTCTTTGGCATACATGTATTATTATTATTATTAATTATTATTATTATTATTATTATTATTATTATTATTATTATTATTTATACAGAAAATAAAATGTCATACATAAACAAAAATAAGTTTCAATTATTGGAAAATAGGGATTAATGACTACTGCATAACAGGTGTTGACAAGTTCAATGCCCAAACTTTTCATTCCTAAATTCTATAAACTATTTATTTTATTCCTATAAAATTTATTTTTGCGTAAGGCAACTAGGCCTTCAATATTTTCAGGGAGGTCATATACCCTCTGCGCACACTTCTGAGGATTACACTAGCTATTCATCACTAGCATAAAGCCTTGTGCTTGTAACGACACAGAAATGCTCCACTATGGAATTAAAATTATTGGATTACATCAACTCGTTCCTCCAACAGTTCCTGTTTATTCAAATAATTAATTCTGCTTTTTTATTTCTCAAACAATATGAATCACTACTGAATAAGTGAAAGTGAGTTGTTTGACTCACAAATTAACTTATTATCAACACAACACAACTGACATATTGACTCCTGAATTTAACATACGTCTATATGCAAATTTCTGAGTCTGCCTGCTGATTTATTTTATATTGATTTTCCTCCATTGGAACTGATTTTAATAAAGAATACCTTTTTTTTTAATTTGAAATATTAATTTTGTAAAATATTTCTTATTTTATTTATATATACCTTTAAAACTGAATGAATAAACAAAATAAATAAGTGTTACTAATATATTTTTTTTTAATTTATCACAATATATGGACAATTTGTCCATTTACGTACCAAAATTAGAAAGAAAATACAAAATGTATGTATGAGTAAATCTGAATCAAAGAACAATAAAAATATTTTAAAAAAAAGAAAATAATTAGTAAATATTCCGTAACCGTTCTGTTGTGCCTCTATCAGTATTATAATTATTTTTACAGCTATTACCTGATATTCCAAATCCCTGTTTAAATTTTAATCTAATCTTTCCGGCACAAGCAGCATTGACACTGAAATATTTATATAAGGATCATGGGCTTAAGTCTGTCCTGTACGGAATAGGGAAATAATATTTACCATTATCTTTTGATGATGGGAGGGGAAATTACCTTTCTTTATCTTCAAACAAAAAAACAACAACATACATATCATTCAAATATATTCGGACCAATGATACTGTTAATTTATTCTAATGAATATTAAGTTTCTCTCTCTAATTTCAATTTTTACAAACTTTGTTATTATGATGATTACAAATTATGGTGATGATGGCCATCGATACTGCATAAGACTTAATTTCTTTTATAATTTTGCTTTATCTTAATTTTACTTATTAACTAAACATTCTTGGCCTTGAACAACTCACTTCTGCAAGGACTCTGTTTTTAAATACTTAATTTCTAAACTTTCCTGATGGTGAGGAAGCATTGCAATCTTGGCTATGAGAAGAATCACTCCGGCCAAGTGCCATCCTTCCACCATTTCTGTGATTCCGCGTTGAAATCGAATCTCCGTATGTTTTTGTTTACCGTCCGTGTCCTACTTTCATTATCTGTCTATGTTTGTGTCTCAAAATTCGCATCTACAATCACGACATATCCTAACTTATCGTTTATACAGTTCATGGATGTGCATCTTCCATCTGGCAGATCACATGAAATCTTTTTCAAAACTTTTTTATGCCAGTCACAGTGACATATTTTCACTCTACCAAAACATGAAAATTGCCAGCACATGCTACACAGTGTTGTCGGCTCTGCATCTATCATCCCTCTGTTGTATCTCCAGTCAGTCTAACTTGTGACGAGTCTGAATGGACCATCAAAATTCACAATAGTAAACATTTACTCAATAGATATAAAATTATAAAAATTCAAATGTTCTTCTCCTTGAATCCAACAAAAAAGACACAGTATTATCATGAAAAAAAAAATAATAATAATAACATAATAATATAATAAATATAATATTTTAAGTACGTACTTTTTTATTTTAATATCAACCTTAACTTAAGAGCACCTGAATGGCTACCAAAATTAATTTAACAATACTCAATATGAAACTCTGATAGAGGTAGCTACCCTCGCATCAACTGCACGATTTCCATCCTAATGATACTCAAATTGAAGAAAATAATGAAAAAGGCCTAATACTAGTATTAAATTGAGACTAGAAAGTTGTGTTCCCAGTCTAATTTCACTCCCTCATGCACATATCAAGCAAAATAATTAATTTTAGAATAATATAATATTATTGAAACTTAATGTTACTGGTAATGTTTTTCCCAAGAACATGTTTACCATTCCACTTAATTCTCTTATCAGTTACATATTAAAGAAAATGGGCATTATTTTGCCAATTGAAGAACATTTAAGTTACCTTTCACTTAAGTCAACAACGAAGAAAACTCATTTCAATTTCCGTGGATTAAAAATTACTCAAAGAGACTAAAATCAAATCTTCACTCAAAACCCCACACAATCACATATAGGAGTGCAGTCAAAATACTTTTCAGGTTCTAATTTGTTTGGGGTAGTATTTTAGCAACACCTCAGCTGCATCATACCGCAAGTAACCCTCTGTAAACCACAAGACATTCTCATGAAAAGTTAAATTTTGTTTTTAAATATGTTTTTTAATCAATGGTATCAAGTTGTGTTCCCAGTCTAATTTCACTCCCTCATGCACATATCAAGCAAAATAATTAATTTTAGAATAATATAATATTATTGAAACTTAATATTACTGGTAATGTTTTTCCCAAGAACATGTTTACCATTCCACTTAATTCTCTTATCAGTTACATATTAAAGAAAATGGGCATTATTTTGCCAATTGAAGAACATTTAAGTTACCTTTCACTTAAGTCAACAACGAAGAAAACTCATTTCAATTTCCGTGGATTAAAAATTACTCAAAGAGACTAAAATCAAATCTTCACTCAAAACCCCACACAATCACATATAGGAGTGCAGTCAAAATACTTTTCAGGTTCTAATTTGTTTGGGATAGTATTTTAGCAACACCTCAGCTGCATCATACCCCAATTAACCCTCTGTAAACCACAAGATATTCTCATGAAAAGTTAAATTTTGTTTTTAAATATGTTTTTTAATCAATGGTACATGTGTAACTGTCACTTTGTGTTGTTGTTTAGATCAGTGGTGAGAATGATTCAGTTAGGGGCACTGAAGAACAATCGGTGCAAATGCTGTTAAACCTTTCTCGTATCCAATAACCTACCTGATTCAAGATGTAGTCAAAGTGATAAGCAGTAACTGAATATCGTTTACATTTCTGAACCAGAATTCTATTATTTAATGACTTCAATTATTTGTTAGCAAGATACAAACAAAAGTCATTGTAAGATTTTAAAAGAACTTTGAGGTTAAGTTAGTAATATTTTTATATTTTATTTAATAGGTAGTTATTATATATTTATAACATATATATAATTGCATTACTTGTTAACTATGCGGCTAGGCCAAAGGCCTTAAAGACATTGCAATACCTATATCACCCCAAATGGGCTCTCCATCGCATCAGAGCCATGAAAGAGAGACCATAAGGTATGGATGAGGAAAAGCTACCATCAAAAGACAAGTTGGTAATAAGTATATTCCTATGCTTTTCCTCCTACTTTCTGCTCAATGCATATTTTCTTTGATTTAATGTGTCCTATTTATGGACATTAAGGAAAAATAATAATTCATTTCCATTAGTTGGAAATTCAGGCAAATAAAAATAGAAAATTTATAGTAAAAAGAAATGTTGGAGTTCCACGAACTAGTAAATAAGTATATGATCCCTTTTCTTTTTATCGGCATAATAATAATTTTAAAGAAAAGGGATCATATAATGATTTACTTATTTTCAGAACATATGGTGGACCAATAATAAAACGTATCACACACTAGACCTGGTTTGCCCATGTCCTTCTTTAGTCCCTGGTTCATGAAGGATAAAGAAAAGGGAAATCTACTCTATGTCACCCAGGAAGAGAAGAATAATGAAGATTGCTAAATTAAAAAACTTCATTACCTTGCCAATCTTTAAGAACTTAAGAGCTTTAAGAACCCTGGTCAAGGTTATAGAATACACAACAAACTTTCTTTACCTCACTGACTAAAATGTATTTGAAAAAATAAACACACATAACATTTTTTAATAATAAATTAATTATACTTCTTCACAATACTGAATTTTAATCAGTGTTGTAACAATAGTTTGTTGTAGAATGTACTGCCCAGATGAAGGAACAAAGTTCCAAAACATTGGTAAGGTAAACATTTTTTCAATGGACCAATTTCCCATTAGAACATTTTTCTGTTGGTTTTGATTTACGTGTGAATCTGAGAAGAAACCAAAGAAGAGCTATTCTCAGCAGTTGCTGGTCAGCACAAAGCTCCAAGCCCCCCACAGAAACAGGAGTATGTACAATGTAAAATAAAACGTGAAATGAATTCTCAATGAGCTTACCAAGAAACAGCCCATTTTCATGTAAAAAAAATAAATCAATAAACAAAAATAATGATTGGCCATTGTCTTGAATTTGTACATCCACCTGTTATTCTAATGTGAACCTGTCTTCCCTCATTTTATTTTATACAGACAAAAATTCTAAACAATGTTCTAATAACATGAGAATGGCATTTTAAAAGCACCGCAACAGCCCCTATGGTCTAAATCCAGAAAAGAATAAATGAAGCATCACTTACTGGAGTCGATGGTCTGCGCAAAGAGCTCCAGGCCCTCTAAGGGCTGCCCCTGGTCCACAGCTTGTTCCTTATTCCCTTCACTGCTTTGCTTCAAGCACTCCTCCGCGATCTGCATGCTTGAGCTCATGGAGCTCCACATCGACTCGAACATGGACACCCCTGCGACACAACCCGTTGGCTCATCCCTGGCTGCCAGCCAGAACTTATCAGACACTTTGAACTACACACACTTTGTTATAGAACAACCCTGCAACTTTTGACCAAAAAATGCTTTCAAACATAATCATAATATCAATGGGGTTTGGATTAAGGAAAGAAAGTTTTGTTATTTTTTTGTGAAAATGAAGTTATATTGCTTAGAGACAATACACAAAATCTACAATTGAAATGTCAAATGTAGTATAAAAATGTAAGGAGTTCTATATTTTTGAAATATTCTCTGATATGCTGTGATGGCATGAAATTTCATTACCAGTTTTCTACAAACTTATTTTTATGATTTAACATCCCTTCAATATTTAAAGACCTAAGTGCCTAATGAATGAAGTTAAGTGTCTAAATTATGAAGTCTCCAGACAATCCAGAGGGATGGTTCTGAATTCACTCAAAAGCTTGAAAAATCTGGTTTACTATAAAGTTCTGATCAAGAAGATTAATCATTTAATTTCAATTTACATATTTTAAAAATATTGGTAATGTAAAATGAATGATCACTGTTTATTATTATTAACTACTATTTCAATTTTTCAATTAATTAAATAGTCAATGAACATCTCTACCCTTAACTGTTGTATGAAGTTTTTTGTTTATTTAATCAAAGAACATCCCCTGTGATGTTTTATTTTACCCAGTAAAAAAAGCACCAAACCAGGGAAAATATACCCTTCTCTCTTCACTAATGGAAAGATGAGCATGAAATTAAAAATACAATAGAAATGTCAATGACAACCTCACTTTTAGAAGATACAACTAAATAAAACACGAAAGAGGCTTATCTGAATAAAGATGATTTCAAAATTAGCACCTTTCCCTTGATGTCAAAGGAGATAAGCATGCTGTACATTACCTGTGTCAGCCCGTTGCTTGGGCTGCACAGTGAGTAGTAGACCGTTAACTTCCACATAGCTTGAATCACTGAGAAGGGAGGCCCATGGTATAGACACAGACATCTCAGATATGTAGCCATCCACAAACTCCACAGGTAGATTTTGTTGCTCTCCCAATTCATTGAGGGCCTAAAAATCAAAAGGTAGAATTAACATTGTGTTTTCACTATTAAAGAGTTACATTTATTCAGTGTCATGGAAAACAGCACTAATGCCACAAAAGGGCCATTTGAGACAAAGGATCGAGACATTAAACTGAGCTATTACAAACAATTGAGGGCAACCAAAGAAAATTACATTGAGGAATTTGCATGAAACAACTCACCTGAACGTCAAGCTTAACACATGAAACAGATCCAATACCATTGTATAGATCCACTGTCAGCTGATCCAAGGTCAGCTTTTCTTCCAAAAATTGTCCCAAATAACGTTGCAGCAAATATCTACATGCTCGTTTCTTAATACTTTCAGACCACGGAAGGTACCACGGCATTTTGGCAAAAAATTATCCGTCGTAGACACAACTACGAAATTATTACGAACAATAGCAACAGCTCATAGACACACATGCTTCATTGTCCTGCGAACGCGAATGACGTCAATTGTTTTGTTTTGATTCCTCTCAGCTGTAGTGGATAGAGTGTCAATCGCGAAATCATTGCCTGCACAGAAAACCATTTCCCTGATCATGCAGAGAGGGCGACAATGGAATGTATTGTGAGAAGAAATGCGAGAAGAAAGGAAAGCCTTTCGTACTGTGCAGTTCGTTTATTCGAGTGCGCACACTATCGACCTTGATTGCCGGAAATGACAGCGCGAGCGCTCTGACGGACATGTGTTCCCACAACTGGCGCAACGCAGTACGTGCGATTGTGCGCACTTTAATTTTGGTTGATTTTGTCAAGTTATCGAGATTGACACAACAGATGCATATAACCGATGTCGCTCGGCGGCGTGAGGGAACTGGGAGCTGATACCGTTTTGGCTGATATTGTTTTTTTGAAAGATCAAAAAACATTATTTTGTTAGAACTTAACGCTAACTGTCAAACGATCCATTTGCGCAATTAAAATAAGTTTGAATTGAACGAAATTTATTACAGAAACTTCTTACGTCATACAGAACATTATAATTAAATAACGTTATGTTATGTGTGCAATTGAAATTCTTTATTTACAATGTTATGTATGCATATGTTCATTTAAATGCCCCAAAGGACCTTTCATTTGAATCCTTAATGAAGAAATTAGGTCTGAAATTTGCATAGTAGAGCATATTGTGTCCCTTGAACACTAAATTTTAATCTCTTATTAAATTACAATTTATCTTACAAACATTTGAGTGAACTTTTTAAAATATTACCTATGTCATTAAAAAATTATTTTATAACATCAAATACTTATTCTTATATAACTTACAATGCGGTTTTATCTTTAAAATGCACAAAAACTGGAGGAAAAAACAAACTGTTTTTTAAGAAAAGAAAGAAAAGCAATTAAATCATTTCAATAACAGTAACAAAGAACTTCATCCAGGATTATTTCCAGCAAGCCAAAAGTTTAATTCTGAATTTTCTTTGGGTGAAGGGAGGTGGTTTTGTCCTTCTTTGACAGACCTATCCTGCGAAGTTTCTGAGTAGCTGGTTTTAAAGTTAAGAAGTCTTCATAGGGTCTCTGTGCTACTGTTTCTGTCACTCTAGGAAGATCCCTCCATTGGAATACATGACTCCATAAGCTAGCATCTGTAAAAGATACATCGTAACATAGTTGAAAACATTCCATCAACTCTTCGAATCAAATGGTACATTGGTTTAACTTGCATGGCCAATTATATTTTCTCATTTCCAAATAATTTTAGTACCCTAAAAATCTCTCTTTGAATTCGATTAGTGACTTAGGCTATTAATAATCATTTAAAAAAAAAAAGTTGTACAAAATAAATTGTATTATGAATTAAATTATTAGTAATAAAAGTTAAAATCTCTTTGGTAATGAAGAAATTAAGCATTGTTGATATGAAACATTTTAACAGAAAAGGTATATTAATGAGCTAACTATTAGGTTTATCCTTTAAGAGGGATCAGTCCAAAGTATCTTTTCCTGCTTATGGCGATTCTAATTAACAAGATCTTAATAAAATATTGTGCAATTAAGTGAAGGAGAATGCTCCCTAAGATTAGGGAGATTGGAAAATGGGACCAACATATAAAGAAGTGATATGTTACCTGTTGGAACACTTGTGCCCGTTTCTGTGTTGCTGTCATTAGCTTGTGGAATGTGCAAATGATTGTCAGTATCTGAATTTTGTTCTTCTGAATCCAAAATGTCACAATCTTTGTTCTCTTTGCATGAGACAAAATTGGTACACTTTGCTCCTGTTTTAATTTGTATAGAATATGCATTTTCTTTATTTGAATTACACATCTTGTCTGTGTATTTGCTAGGAAGACAGTTTTGATTAAAACTTCCTTTTGGCCGATAGAGTTCTGTACCACAATCTACTTTACGGGCATGCGGTATCATCTCATAAAAGTTTTTAAGTTCTCTAAGAGTAGATCCATTTTCAGTGCAAACATGCAAAGATGCATGAGAACGGTTCCATGCTTCAAGAGAGTCAGTGTTTAGATTGTCATTTTTTATGAAATTTACAGTTTGAGCGTACTCTTGTTTTGCATTTTCTTTGTCAACTTTTTTTTCCAGTGATGCAGTAATTTCACACGTTTCAGGTGCAATACTACTAGATGAATTTGAGATAGTTATCAGCACTTTGTTATTTACACTCAAAAGTTCATTAGCAATTGTTTCAGAAGTTTTGCGGAATTTTTTCATCTGGGGCACATTTGGATCAAAGATCTCTGACTGAGAAGTTGAATTTTTCAAGTGATGCAAAGTGTCCAAGTCAAGGGCTGCAATAGATCTGCTCACAGTGCACCTTTTACTTGCAAGGTCTTTGAATGCTTCACACTTGTGATAGCCCAGGCAATTGCATGCATGAACCATTGGAGGAGTTGTTTGCACACCAGTTTCTTTGTAAGAGAGAATTGGTGAGCTGTCCACTTCAAATAGTTCCATTGCATTGTCTATGTCCATATCTAAGGAATCTTTATCAATGGGATCATTAAAGGAAGTTTCAATACCACAGCCATTTTTATTTGTCAAACATGATTCTGTAGCCAATGATCCTTGGTCATTATTCAAAGGTTTAGTTGTTTTTGTCCAATAGGACAAGGTTTTAGAATACAAATTGGGATGAAGGAGGGAGCAATTACTTTCAAAATGTTGCAAATTGTTTGAATTTCTCATGACCAACATTTTTTGCTGAGAATAGCTCTTGGAGTCAACTGATTTATTGGTACCACCCTTAATCATGATAGAAGATGAATTTTTGAATGTTAACAAATTGGATTGAAATGAATACCTGTCTAAAGTTGTTTGCTTCATTGCAATATATTCTGGAGTTACCTTCATTGAAATTGAATTATAAATTTTTAAATTTGATCTCAGTTTCTTTTTCTTTTCGATATTTGTCATGTTAATTAACCTATAATTTCTGTTTTCTCTGAGGGCTTGTTCTTTATCTGAATTACTGAACATAAAGTGCTGAGTGAAAGATTGAGAGCAGGTGGGGGTTTTATGTTCATTTCTTAAAATGCCATCAACAACTTTCCTAATGTCATATTCTTCCTGGGCTTCAAAATTATCAGGCCCATTATATTCAGGAAGGCTAAGTTTATTCTGAATTTGTCCTAATGCATGTTCAAATGCTATAATATTAGGCTCCATCATGCCATTTATTCCAATTACTGTATTAACTGTAAACAAAAATCCTTCTCACAACACTATAAAACCATTTACCAGTACTAAAAAATAAAAAAAAAGTCAAGTACCTGGAAACATCATTTCTTCCTTCAGAGATAAACAAATTTTATTAGTATCAGATTGCATTATAATTTTTTTGTGTAAAAAATTTACTCTACAGAATTATTCAAATCACTAAAAATTATTACCACACTTATGTACACCTTTTTGGACGTTTGTGGTTAGGTAATACACTATTGTAGATGGTGTTCTGTCAACAGGTAACAATTCAAAAGTTGACAATGCAGACAACATTCGAAACATTAGGTGGCCCCAAGTGTGCAGGGCCTCCTGTAAGTTTTTTTAATAAAACAATAAAGGAAGTAGAAGTGTTGGGTAAAGATAAAGACTCAATGTATTCAAAGACAATAAAAAGAAAGCGAATGTGTAACCAATGTTTACATATATTTCACATAAAAAATAGTAATCTTATCTGAAAAACACAATGCAATGATGTGTTTGTTCTCACCATAGTTCCATAGCTCTTATGACACACACACACACACACACACACACACACAATAATAAAAATGAAAAAATCAAAGAACATTTGAAGTATATTTTATCATACATACACATCAAATGTTAAATGTAATATCAGCTGACACAACCATTTTAAAAGTGAGAATCATTTAGTCAATTATCTTGTCAAGACTTCTTAGCTTCCAAAAGGTTTTCTTAAAAATTCATAAAAAAACACAAATCAGTGTAAACAAATCTTTAAACATGATCCTTGGCTTCAATACATATTGCTTCTGAAACATGAGCTTTCAGTGAATATTATATCTTACTTGCAAATGTGACAATGTGATCATGCAGACAAGCATATCAATGTTCTTAAGTGTAATTAAAGTTTTTTAAACCATATCTCTAATATCTACAAGAGCATTAAATAAATATAAAAATTGAATAATAAGATAACTTAAAACAAATTTAGGCCAATTCTTACATTTCAAAAGGCTATATCTATAATTTGAATGTCGCTTTCATAGAAAATTTCAAAATTATAAAAAGAGAGAGGATATAAAAAATGTAAAGCATTTCAGTCTGTAGAAAAAATCTGAACACTTGCTTTTACAAGCTTTACAATATAGAACTTTGACTTTCTCATCACATTATTGATACTGCAACCTTATTGTTCTTGTTCCAAAATCTTAAGCGATCAGGTTTCCAATATTAAATTAATATTGACTCTCAAATTTTAACAAGAATTAACAAACATTAACCAAGAAAGTACATTCTACATTAAGAGTTTGTTTTGTTCCACAAAGAAGATACAAACAATTATGTTTCACAACTATTATGCACTCCCCCCCCCCCTCCAATCCTGTGAAACTGACAAATATTTTTTTCTTATTTAAATTAGAAATGAAAATAGAAATATAAAATACTTTTGACATGCAACCCTTCAGACCATCTTTAAGAAGTATTAGGGTGTTACAAGTGAGAAATAATGTCCCATCTCCTTTCACCATTCAGAAACGGTATAATGCACTACAAAAATACAAGAAAATATATTCATTTTTCATGGATGGTAAGAATTCATTTGGTAACAAATTTCACAATGCAAGATGCAAAATGCAATGCAATATTAATCCTTATATGAAAACTGTGAACCAACATGGTGAACAGCAAAATCATAAAAATGAGAAAAGGAGTGAATAAGTTCAAAGATCCAATTTCACAGTTTAGTGAGATTTTTGAAGCTTAATATATAAAGCAAGCTCTCTTGATAATGGGAGTCTTCTTACATTTAAAATTACAATAGATATGCCCCAAACAAACTATTGTTTGGAGCATACCCATTTTACAGAATGAAGACAAGATAATAACAATATTGCATCTTAAAATACATAACAGTTTACCATTATTTACACACTTTTATAATAAATTTAACTTCAGTCAGTCTGGTTCAGTGAAGAATAGGCTTTTCTACATCATCCTTCAATTTCTATTTCACAAAGCAACTCAACGAACATTAACACAAGGAAGCTGACATTATTTCATTAGTTATTTCTGGAAAACAAACCCCAAAATTAAGTTCATAAAACAAAACATGGCATCAAACGAAAGAGCACTGATCATTTGAATGAATTCAAAAGGAGAATGTATTTCTTTCCACGGATTTCATTTTCAATGCATAAATGTTTTTGAACAACTAGAATCAAATACGACAAAGTAGTTTTCTTTAAAGAATTAGAACTAGAAAATTATATATATTTTTTTAAAACATTAAGGTATATCCTAATTGTGTTATAAATGGAAATATTCTACAACTCAGAGATCACAATGTGAAAGAATGTAGTTTTATCATATAGAGTTCTATCCTACATTTGCAAATTCTTGATATCTTCACAAATAAACAAATCAAGAAATTCCTAGCCACTGGTTCACCAAAGAGAAATTTAACAATAAGTATTCAAATTGATAGAAACAAGAGTTTTGTAAATGGATTTTTGCCAGGAATCTGCTTCCACTGGGGGATGTTTTTGGCTGACTTTTTTATCATATACTAAAAAGTAGGTCATATAGTAACCATCTCCATCTCCACAGCTGAGATTTCTGTGACGGCAGGAAGAATGAGTCAAGCCAAAAAAAATAGGTTGTTCCAAAACTGGATGTTACTTTTGTATTTCAAAGAAACATGGAATTAAGTATGATATGCAGAAAGACAATACTTATAAATTCTATCATTCAATTAACACTGAAATTCAAATCCCTCCAGTAAATTAGCCACCGTCAAGAATGTAGACACTTGCAGTTGCCAAAGAATGAAACAGCACCTCAGGTAACTGAAATACAATGGCACATTTAGTAATGGCTGGGACAGAGATGTCAGAGTGATGTCGTTGTGCCTTGACAAAGTGATTGTCAACACATCAATGGTTAGGTTGGACACAAAGACTGTTTGTTTCCCAAGAAAAGTATTTGAATACAAGTCAAGTGGAAGAAGACTCAGAAGGCAGACCAAGAAAACTACAGGATGACAAGAAACACCTCGGAAACACTGAAGAAATGAAACGGAAATTTCCAAAAGGCCTAAACTATAAATATTGATGATGACGATTTAATTGTATAGACTTACGAAAAAATTTAAAAATGGGTACATCATTTGCCAAATCTTTATTAAGCCTCTTAATAAGGGTTTGGAAAACATTTCAAAATAAACCAACAAAAGAATGTAGTTTATTGAAGCAGTCACATTCTGAGAACACAGAATTGCCTAAACAAGTAACAATTGAGCAGAAGGAAGCAACAGTTTATTATTGAAGTTCTTCAGGAACTCTTTAGTAACATCTCAATGGTGAGCAAGAGGATGGGAACTTTTTTCTTTTGTTTGTGGAAATGAGAGGCCTATTATGGTAGAATACAACAAAACCTCTACAAATAGTTAAGGCCTGTTAACACAATCCATTGCAATGCACCCAACTTCATGTTTCTACGAATACATAACAAGCTAAAAACATATATAAGCAAACTATATTACAATATCTGAAAACATTACAAAATATTAAGACGTTATGTAAACATTGCTAAAAATATTTTCTATAACAATACAATAAAATAGAACTGTGTTAGGACACACATCACATTTTGATTATGTGCAATCCACAAAAAAAGAGATTACTGCCAATGCCAATATGAACAAATAGTCTTCATAGTTTACTGCAATTCCTTGGTGAGTATTTGTGACAAAGATACAATAATTCATAAGAGACTAGGAACTGCCATCAGCTCACTCTAGGAAGATTATTTTCTAAAGAGGAAGTCCCCATTGGTAGATACTCCACACCCCATGAGCAGTTGAAGGTAAGTGGGTCTCTACACTACAAAACAAGCACCTATAGCTAATTTCACACAGAATCATAAATAAGCAACACATGGAACCTTGGAACTATCAACCAAACCATTCTATTCTCGTACTTATGCTCTCCCAATTGCATTTTCACAATTTCTTTTCATAATTTTGAACACATAACTTAAATTCTTTAAAAACTTCAACAGAAAGGAAGCAAGAGCACTTCATATACATAAAAAATTGCAGAGAGAACCTTGTATCTGAAGTTGTAAAAAGTAAGATTCAACTTGCTACAAGCAAGGAATTACATTGCTCCAAACTAATTATTGCAAATGAGAGAGAGAGAGAGAGAGAGAGAGAGAGAGAGAGAGTTTGGAAAGAAAATGAGAAAGTCACAGCAACAACTGAAAACCAATGCTATCTCTTTTGCCTCCTTTTTATTCAGTAATCAATGTTACTATCTTTCATTGCCAATTTCTTGACATCACAAGGCACAAAAATATATTTCTACCATAATTAGTTATTTGGACAAACAACATAAGATTACGTCATAAAATTACTTTATATATATATAAACTTGTATTTGGGATGCCCTTATCGATAACATTCCAATATTCTTGACTAAATTAAAATTCACTGATGTTATAGCATAATGAAAAATTTCCTTCAAAGAAAAGTTGCTTCTCTTTGAACTGAACAAACATTCTTGAGCTATCAAGGATTTCTTCATACTAAGAGTAACTAACAGTAACAATAATAGCAAACAGCCCCCCTTCCGTTCCTCATTGGAATTCGCAAATGCATTTTGCACATCACCAGAGCCTCACTCTGTGTCCTGTGGCCCTTTCTCGTCTGCTTCCACATTAACTTCACCATTCGTCGGTACGTTTGTGGTGCTTGTAGAGGATGTAGGTCCTCCTCCATTGATGAGCTTCTGGCGCTCACGATACATGGATGCTCTAAGGTTCTGCAATTGGTGATAGCGACACAGCTTCAGGAGGGCGCATACCGACAGCCCCACCCATATGGCAAAGGAAGCCCAAGTGCCAAACTGAGCAGTTCCCATCTCAATATAGAAGTGGGTGGTGTCGATGCCATCTTTCTCGTCAATCTGCTTGCCTGCTGCCACCTCACACCTGTAACACAAAGCACCATTTGTCTTGAATCTTCCAAGCCCACGAGCCCACCTGGGGTAACCAAAGGCACACACTTTTGGAACCTGCAACAACCAGCTTCTGAAACAAAAATTCAATTCATTCAAAGCACCTGCAACAAGAATTTTCGATCAACACTTGGCTTTTTAGAATGGAAGTTTTTAAAACATCTTAAATGCTATGGATAAATTAGCACTATAACATTTTTCTATTCACCAAATTGTTAGGAAATAATATTTTAAAAAGCATAAACTGTCTAATGTCTTTTTGGATAAGCATGACCCTTACTAAAAGATGAGAATGTAACAATGTTTACCTGCCAGACATGCATATCTACCAATTCAAAAACTTCAGTGGCCAAGTAATCACAAGTTTTATTGATTCTTATCTTTTGTGTAGATCAGCAATGACCTAATAAAGTGAAGAGCATTATTGGAATGTTTCTCTTCCACATTCAAGAAAACTCATAGCCAAAAAACCAACAACCCTGATATTCAAACTTCAGGATTAATCTGGACTAATAGATCTCAGAATTTCAAGGACAAACTATTTTTCTTTCTTAGTACAGCTGTTCGAAATTAATTACCAACACCTTCCCGACATCTAGAAACCTCCTTCACCATTACAACATGTAAGTGGACTTGTATTTAGTAAATACCTAATGGTGCTTGTTTAGAGAACTGAGACAATTGAGAACAATCCTGGACAGAATCTATAAAAAATAAAAATCCTACATTACCCCACCTACATCAAATAAGAAGTGACAATTAATGCACTGTCTACTCCAATATTAAAATAGGCACCAAACAAAGAGTTGAAATGGAAAAATCACTGTCTACATACAAAATGATTTTCAAGGGGGAAAGTCATAATATTTCAGCATTTTTATTTCTTTCTGTGTTCTTTTTCATATTTCTTACTCATATTTTTAACAGTTTGTAGTAATTAAAAATTAATATGAGAAAGTTATTTTCAATTAATTTTTTACCGAGACACATTCAGGGAAGTTTCTTTACACGAAATACACAAAAAAGCTCTCTTAAGTCTAGAACACGGTACAACTTAAGGAAGCCATTTAAACTGGCACTTTGCAGCTCTCCGGTGAGGGGAAAGTCCACAGAGGGGATGAGTGATTAGGGGTTCGTGAGGGGAACATTCCGGTGGGGAGGGCCAGTGAGCAATGTATGTAACTTAGTAGATACTTATAATAAGCAAAGTGAAGGCAGTTTCACCAGTGAGGCTGCCGCTTAATTTCTTTCAGAGAACTTAGCGTAATTTGATGGCCGCCACACTTCTCTAAGGGGTACAGTGCTTCTACTTTAATCACATTGCTCCTGGCTCCCTTTTGCGCCAGGCCCCTGGCTGCCCCCAGCTCTTCAGCCTCTTCCTAAAATAAATTCATTGAAAACACATATTCCAAAATATGTTTATGTAGGATATATTAATTAAATTATCATGGATTAATGTCTAACAAATTTGCTAAAGGTCTCAAATTAATCACAACTTCACAACATAACAAACTTCATTATCTTTCCCATTTTTATGTCACCTGAACATCTTGCATTTACATTTTCTGAATATGCTCTTGTCATAGACAAGGCTGAAAATAATGCCTCACTAACTTTACCCTGACTCCCCTCGCGAAGCGCAACCACTGCTGAAAGGACTGACAGGAAACTCTTCACTGCGCAGCTTTGACTTTAACCCAGCCCCGCAATAGATCTGAGAGATCCATACCATGGCAATTTTACGTTCCTGAATTTTTACGATGCACTTACTATCTGATACTTCATGTACTGCTTCACTGTTCTTTTCTGAGAACACCTGGCCTTCTTTTTTATCCTTTTGTTGAATCATTTCCATGTTAAAACTTGATGGCTGTGCTACACGATATCTGTCAGATACGTTGCATGCACTGGCACCAATGGATTGTGAGCTCCTGGCATAAGCGGGACGTATTGATGGCATTATTTTCAGTGATGTCTATGACAAGTGCATATTCAGAAAATGTAATCATTTGTCTCATCAAGGATCGACTGCCACAATTTATTTCCAAAAAGAAAGAAGACATCTGTAGGAAATGAAAATGTGCAAACCTTGCCAAATGAAAAATTCAAAATATTTTTGTAAAAAATGTAAAATATATGTTCCTCTAGAACATGCCAAAATCATTTGTGGAAATTGTATTTAATTTCATTTAATAAGATAATAAGATGTTTAATAATTTTTACATGTTCTTTGTCAATTTATACCTTTCTCACCATTAGCATTCAGACAAAGTTTTTACAGAGTAGGATTCATAAACAATTGCATTGGGGTACATGTACAAACTAAATAATATATGTATTTCAGTAAACAGAGCTTCAGATCATTCACATTCACAAAAAGTTGCAGCTATATCTGAGAAATTCATTGTGAGCACTTTGGCAAGTCTCCCTATTGCGTGCACTACAGGGTTAACAGACCTACACAAAATTTCTGAAGAGCACTCTACAAACTCTCTTGTTCAACCATACTCATTTGCATTTCTTTGGGATAGAAGAAAAAGGAATTCAGTCACAGCAATTGAGACAAAAGCCATAATTCCGTTATTAATCTTTTCTAACAGAACAGAGACTAAGAATCCAAAACTCCACACACAATCAAGGCATCTGAACCAGGTACTCACGAAGGAAATCTTTCAGTCATGTCCTCGCACCATGTGAGGAAACCAAGAGTGACCATGAGGGCAGCAATTAAAGAGGCCACTGACAGCCAGATGTTGCCGATCACATCCACAAATGCCGACACAAATGAGCTGTAACATCATGCAGCACAATTATTCATTAAAGAACTGTCAAATTAATGTTACAAAAAAATACCATAGCACAAAAAAAAAAAACAAAAAAAAAAACATTCTCAAAAAGCCTTAAATTATGTTTATGACTTTAAAAAATTATGCAAGATACTCATTAAAGCCAAGTAATGAATAGGAAATACCTGTCGGTTCCTTTGTGCAAAAACATGGCCATTCGATACAATTGCACGGCTGCTGCGAGAAATAAAACAACACCCACGAAGATGACATAATTGCAATAGATCTGGGAGGCCCACTTTACAAGGAACTGTCCATCATCCTCTCTCCACTCACCAGTAGAAAACAGAAGGCAATGGCCTCTGCAAAAAATAATAAAATATGGGTTTGCAAATCAGTACAACCAGAAAATATATAATTATATATTATTAATTATAAAGGCAAGTAATGAAATTAAGCAAACACCGGAACTGAAAATCAGATAGCTCTTAGAAAGGTGTACATTGCATTGTACATCAACATTTAATAAGTTTGTTTCACATACCTGAATTCATCTTGATGTAAACTCATAGGAACCGTAATGCACAATGACAAAATCAACGCGATAGCATAGCCGGCGATTTGGCTAAGTAGGATGACATTTGACAACGACATGACAAATTTGTTAAATGGGCTCTTTTGCTGCGACCTTGATATGCCGTTAACTTGTCAGCAATAACCTATCGGCATCGACCCTTTCACATTTAAAACAGTACACGATCAGTACAAAAGCCTCTGACCATACCACTTTGTCCACGCAATTGCAAAGAATGTTTCACATGACTTCGGGTAAAGATGGTATCCTTCCTTACAAGATATCACACTGACAAGAGCGCAATTGTTTGTACACAATCGCTTGCAATATGGAGGCCCTTCAGCTGTGTGCTAGCTTCACCATTTGGCTGCCAGGGGCGCCCCTCGAAGCAGCAGACTAGGAAAATGTTACGATGAGCGATACGATGTCAGATCTTCACTGAAATCTCGTCAATCAGTTTTCACGATGTGTTCTATTTTTTTTATTACAGTACTTCAAGCTCATAGTGAATTCATATGCATCATTCACGGTGCATTCCATGGCATGTAAGCAATGAGAATTCGACTTGACACCCCACGATATTCTGAATACCACAATGCCTCTAATTAAAGTAAGGATCTGTGAAATTGAAGTTCATTTCTGGTCCTTAGTTTAATTAGCGGTATTTGGAAAAGAATTTAAGGGTCGTCCATAAATTACGTCACGCTGAGAGGTTTTTGAGGCATCGTTATGTAGCCGAAGAGGGGTGTTAGATTCGTGTTATGTAACTTATTATTTTTTAATTTTTCGATGTAAGTTGAAAGAATTATTTTTTTCAGTCTTGACTTTAATAATATATTAACTAATTATTTTTAATATAAGTAATAAAGTTATGAGTCTAGCTAGTTTGAAGTAGCCCATATAAGACAGTAATTTTTAAAAGACTATATAATTCCTTCTCCTCTCCGGAAGAATGTATAAAAAAAAGTCTTACAACTTTTAAAAACATCAAAAATTGATACCTTAATATAAAGACCCTCCTTTACCTATATCTTGTACACAGTAATCCTTCAAACATGTTAATATCAAAACTTGTGTAATGTCAATAAATAAATATGTGTACCCATTCCAATTATATAAGTACCCACAACATTAATACATTTTGACCATTTATATGCTTGTATGAATTGTATGTATTTGTATAATGACATAACTGTAAAAAATGTGTATTCTTGTGATTCTCGCTTATGACTGTATTGATTCTCGTGATTCTCGCTTATGACTCAGTTGTTGAAAAGCGACCTTAAATAAATAAATTAATTAAAAAAAGTTATGAGTATAAATTGTTGCAATAAATGGAAATTTTTCATCAGATAGAATCTTTGAAGAAAACGCTCAAAACTAATCTCTAGTATATTCTAGAATCCCAATAAATAGTAACAGTTGATTTTGCTTTGATTCAGATAGCTGTTCTAAATAACATGGAATAATAGTTCACCGTCAACAAATTGAAGAAATGAGTTATGGTTAACATTTCAAGGAGAAAGTATTGAAGTAAATTAGCAGTTATAGATTGATTCCTACGGAGACAGTGTTGCAGGTGCTAGTGCCAGAAAAACACATCGGTTATAAATCAAACCATCGCCTTCCCCAATTTACACTTGCGTACACTTTCATTAAAATAGTGGTTTCTGATAGTTCGTCAGCTGTGACGCGTCACAGCTGACGACAGAAGTCACTCCATTTCAATGAGAGTATACTGTCGTGATTAGTTCACGCCGTGCAGACCTATCTATTGGCAAAATGATAAATTATGAAGAGGGATATCTAGTGGAGATTTTCAGAGTTAATATGAGCGACGATGAATAACTGAACTAACCTCAAAAAAAGATTTAAGGTACTTTGTAAGTAAGCTCACTTTTCGGAAGGGTTTTGGTGGCGTAACGGGTAGCGTATAGGCTCTAGGCTATTCGGAGGTTCGAATCCACCTCCATCCCGCCAAATTGACCTTGCTTCTAATGATGACAATTGTTAATCATGAATAATCCGTGTACGATAAAACAATGTCGGATTCCCAAACTGAAGAAGCACGATCTTATAACTTTCAAGAAATTTTATTGTCTCTGTTGTTTCACACTAGCTGCAAATTAATTTTATGAATTTCACGTGTTTTTGAAAGCACACATGTTTAATCAATTCTTCACACTATTGAACTTCAAAATGTGCCTTTTTTGAGTTCTCAATTATCAATAACAATATAAATATTTGAAGTTTAATATTTTATTTTATTTATATCTAAAATATACAATGTGTTTCCTCTCAACAAAATTTAGTAATACAAAATGTAGAGTGAAATATTTCATTAAGCACAAGAGACTTTTCAAAATAATATAATAATTCAGTCAACCATTTCAATATTTCTGACTTCTTCTCTGCAATAAGTTTCGTGGTGCAGACAACTGATTACTACTTATTATAAAACATTTATTGTAATCAGTTATTAAATGTCATTAAAATAAACAGCAGAACACATTCTTTATGATTGAAGCAAAAACCATGATACTGAACTGAAATCATGCAATAGTGCAATATACATGAAGTGTTCGTAATGTTTTCATTAGTAATTATTTAACTTCAGGTACTTTCTTGTAATGATATTAATTTTCATTACTGATCAAATATTTTTAAAATATCACGTTACATTCTCTTTACATTTCTACATTCTCGTTACACTACATATAAAATTCTCGTTACATTTCTTGAAAGATTTACATTTCATAAAAGAAAGAAAGAACAATAAAGGAAACATTTATGAGACAGGAATCTTAAGGAACAAACACCAAACCAATTGAAAATATAACTGAATAAATTCAACGAATACATTCTAATGAAAATTTGTGCTCCCTATATTTACAAACTGAATCATTTACATCCATAAAATCACCATAAGCAAAAATTGGTATTTTTTATAGTCAATATGCAGCTTGAAGACACATTTGATGCAGCAGATTAGTGATTTTTGTAAACTTTAGAATTTTATTAAAACGTAATTAAATATTGATAATTTTAGACAAGGAATCAACAATATAGAGAAGGAAACTAATTTACAATAATTTAATATTTTCAAAGCAAAGACGTCACTCCTCTGAATGTATAATTAAATAGCAGCACTTTAAAATCTATGTAATTGCAGAAAACAAAAAGCATTGAAATACTTTTTTACAATATTTACGCTAGTTCAATGTTATAATTCAAGTGAAGGAAATTAACTTAATTAAGTGATGTGAAAGAAAACATCGTGGTATTCTAATGTAGACATTACTAATAAATTAACACCTACATAAACTGAAGAAAAAAACCGTTCCAACTCTTAACCTGTTCGAAGAACGAAGGACCCTGTGCTTCTACAGAGGCGTTTGCCAGAGGGAGTAGCCCTGGGTGGTGGAGGCGTCTGCTGCCGGGGCGGCCTGTGGCTGCTGCGGAGGGAGGTGGGCGACCGCCTGCACCACGATGGGCTGGCTGCCAGCCACAGCCTGGCTCTGCCCACTGGCCTGTTACCCAAAGTACACTAACAAAAATCTTGAAGTATAATGAACGAAATGCCACATTAGGTCTCATTAGGAAAGAAAAAATCAAGGACTTGAGGAATTTTATTCTACACTGAAAAGCCCAAAAACTGGTACACCAGCCTAATATCGTGTAAGGGACACGCAGAAGTGCCGCAACACGTGGCATGGACTCGACTAATGTCTGAAATACTGCTGGTGGTAATTGACTCCATGAATCCTGCAATGCAGTTCAGAAACTCGTAAGAGTACGTTGCAAGGCATCCCAGATATGCTCAGTAATGTTCATGTCTGGGGATTTTGGTGGCCAGTGGAAGTCTTTACATTCAGAATTGTTCCTGGAGCCACTCTAGCAATTCTGGACGTGTGGGCTGTCTCATGCTGGAATTGCCCAAGTCCGTTGGGAAACACAATGGACATGAATGGGTGCAGGTGATCAGACAGGATGCTTTCGTACGCGTCAGCCGTCAAGAGTCGTATCTAGACGTATCAGGGGTCACATGTCAGTCCAACTGCACACACTCCATACCATCACAGAGCATCTACCAGCTTCAACAGTCCCCTGTTGACACGCAGGGTCCATGGATTCATGAGGTTGTCGCCATGTGAAACGAGACTCGTCAGACCAGGCCAATGTTGGTGTTGACGGGCACAGGTGAGGCGTAAAGCTTTGTGCCGTGCAGTCACAAGTGTGCCTTCGGCTCCGAAACCCCATATCGATGTCTCCTTGAATGGTTCGCACACTGACATTTGTTGATGGCCCAACATTGAAATCTGTAGCAATTTGCGGAAGGGTTGCACTTTTTCACGTGTCATGATTCTCCTCGGTCGCCGTCGGTCCCGTTCTTGCACGATCTTTTTGCGGCCGCAGCGATACCGGAGGTTTGAGTACCGGATTCCCGATATTCGCGGTACATTCGTGAAATGGTCGTACGGAAAAATCCAAATTTCGTCGCGGCATCGGAGACGCTGTGCCTCATCTCTCTTGCAACGACTATCACACCACGTTCAAAGCCACCCAAATCGTGATAAGCATTGTAGCAGCAGTAACCGATCTAACAATGTGCCAGACTCTGATTGTGTAATATAGTCCTTGCTGACCGGAGCACCGTATTCTGATGTTCCAGATCTCTTTATTTCAAAATGCATGGCTGTACCTTTGTTTTTTGCTCTTCAGTGTATATTCTAAGAGATCCAACGAAAGTGAAATGGATATTGAAGTCTTGGGATTAAAATACAGTGGAGCCTCAGTTTTTCAATAATCTCTTTAAATCTGTTAGCCTGAGGCACACACCAAAGCTATGAACAAAATCATTTGAGGAAGTCTCTTACTGGTCGTCCATAAATTTCGTAAAAAATAAAGAGGTGGGGTGAAAATAGAGTTACGCTACGTTACATAGGGGTAGGAGAGCATTAGTGTATGGTTACGTAACACTGTCTTTTTCGTATTGCAACATTTTCTGAAATAATCCTTTTGTTGAGTCTTATTCTAAAGCATTAAAGTATTATCTAATTAATTTGTTCAAAAAATAATAAATTAACCTACTAGATGAAAATTGTTACGATAAATGATTTTCTTATTGAATTTGTCAGATTATCATGAAAATATTCAAAACTGATCTATATTCTACAATCCAATTTGGCGCATTACACTGACCCGTGCGTCATCCATGACAGCAAGTGCATGACTTGTGATATTACATTTTTTCGCCTTTGTGTCATTCGTTCACTCAAAACTTGACCCCAATCTTATCGTTATGTGCAGTCAGCATCGCCAGCTAATTCCGACTTTAATTATCATAAATTTTAATATTCAACACAAAGAAAATTAATACAAATGGCTTTTACTGTGCTATACTCAAATTTCCATTTTTTTCATTTACAAGGAGCAAGTTGTGGGGTGTTGTTGCTAGCGTTACGTAATTATTTAGGGGGGAGAGGTGGATTGCATGTGACAAGTGCGTCACAGGGGGGAGAGGTGGCCCTCAAATACTCGTAATTTGCGGGCGACCGCTCATGCTCACCTGGAAGCGTGGCGCGGCGGGGCAGAGGGCGAAGCGCGGGCCACGAAGGCGGGGCGGGGCGGTGGCGGCGGAGGCGGCGGGGGCGGGGGGCGGCGGGCCGGGGCGGCGTCGCGGCGGGGGCGGGGGTGGTGGCGGGGGCGGGCGACGGGGGGCGCGGGGGGCTGCGGGCGCTGGGCGGCGGCGAGACCGCTGGCGGTAGCGGAGGCCGTGGCGGAGGCGCGCGGCGGAGGGCGGCAGCCGCAGACAGCGACAGCTGCGCCAGCTGCTGGGTGAGGCGCGCCAGCTGCGGGAACTGCGACTGCTGCTGCTGCACGCGCTGCAGCTGTTGCGTCAGGTGCAGTACCTGCGCGCTCTGCATCTGCTGCGCCTGCTGCGCGCGGTGCAACTGGTGCACCACCTGCAGCAGCTGCGCCTGCGTCTGCGCACAACCACATCCTCCCTCAGCTGCCGTCAACAACATTCCGACAAAGGAGTCGTGGCTACAGAAAGTCAAAATCCGAGGCGGTTGTGCTCCGCTCACCTCACCATACACACGAGTAGAGCCCCATTCACCATCTCATTTATTGGGCTAAATGGATTTCACACGCCCATGGGATTTATTAAAAGCGGGGCACCCTTCGATACCCCCCCCCCCCCGGTCGCTTCAGAAAGATTGACCGGGAGGCTGGGTGAAACTAGCGATGGCCACACAAAAGGCCACGCCTCGCCACTGCCTGTGGGCCGGGTCGGAGGCGGGTACCAGTTGCTCCATTCGCTCCCTGCGCTGAGCGCTCCTACTATACAATTTCCACGGCCCAGTAACTCGGGTGGGGGATGAAAAGGGAGGTATCACGGCCAAACATTGATGCAGTGTGGATGCCTATGTTTCACATCTAACCAGTTTTAACAAATGCCTCGAAACAAAAACAGAATAAAACGCAGACGTCATGAATTGCACTTTCACCTTATATATACCACTGTCAGTTGAAACAGCCCGTTTGAATTACTTAGTGGTGAATACAGGGAGGCAATAAGGGCCATGTTCACCCCCAAAAGGGCTAGAGTTTTTGTTTGTTACCTTCCTTTATTTGGCAAAATTAATTTAAATATGTATTTTAGAATTATGTAATTATTTAAAAAATAATATTGTATAGTGTCTTATATACATTACAAAAGCTACATACAATATAATAAATATTTATATTTAAAAAATCTAAGATGCCCCCTTCGAAATGATTGACTGGATCAGCCCCAGGAATTCGGCAGACATAAATACAATTCGCCCTACACGTTCGGACAAGTGGTGTTTCTCGGCACCGATCAATCATAGCTGGTATCTACAAAATAAGCCCATATCGGAGTACATTGTATCTTCTCTTATATGTATATCTGGGGGTAGCCCTCTCAGCAGTAGGAGAGTGACGTGGAATATCTCGAATATCTGAAATTATTGTATGAACATACGTTCGGTGAACATGAAGTGAAGTGCCAGTAGAGTGTGGTCTTCAATCAATCATTATTGATTGATTGATTTATTATTATTATTATTATTATTATTATTATTATTATTATTAGTGGATTCCCACCTGCTGCGGCTGGAGCTGCACGAGGGGCGAGCAGGAGGCCTGCGAGGCGTGGCCGCGTGGCACGAACTGCAGTGGTGCCATCTGGAACTGAGAGGAGACTCATCAGTGAAGCACTGGGCATCTACATTGCCACGGAAGGAACTTTCAAAGGCAAAAGGGCGTTTCGCTTTCTAGCGGGTGACGTTTAATATGAAAGCCATTTAACAAACGAAACTAGTGGGGCTGAAACAGCATGCACTTGCTCCCCATTTTCACGTCGAACTACAGGAAAAGTACCCGTATTTTCGAAAAATTGTACATGATCTTTCAAAATCTAACTTTAAGGAACAGATGTCATTAAGGGAACAATCTCTATCTTTAATATTTTAGTTGTAGAAAGGCTTTATGTAAAGACCCCCAAAATTAAAATATCGGTTTCGAATTTAAGGGGTCGCGACATCAGCCAGGTCGATCGGAGAATATTAATTAGGGAGATAATCGGCTGAACTGTTCCGCCGCTAGCGTTGTTCACAGACAGACAGGAAGACAGACGTTTCCCCGTCATTGGGTATTGAGGTATCCCGGTAGCAAGGGGCCACAAAACATGATCTCTGGCAACACCACGTGATGGATTTTTTTTTCTAAATTTAAGAAATGGACTTATCCACTTTTTCGTTACGAGGGCACTGTAATAAGAGTTTTCGCACAGCATTACATAACTTTCGAAAGTTAAAAGGGGCGTTCCAAGTGTCTGAGAAGCGTTTTGATAAAGCAGACTGTAGTACCTAGTCCCATTAGTGAAGTGAACGTCTAATCTCGGAAGGTGGCGGTGTTCCTTTCCACTTCAGCTTGTGGGCGAGCTCTAAACTCCCGATGGCCTCACATGTGGAAGGGACGAGGTAGAGAAAGGTACTGCTTCGTTATTCTACAGGTAGTGATTGGAGAAACCAACGAAAACTATCTCCTGATGGTTAGAATTCTCTTACCTACTAGAATCTTCCCTTTGATTGCTAGAATTCACTTTTCAAGGAATTTCATCCAGCAGCCTAGCTAGTGTCAAAAATCAAGGTAATAACTCAATATATAACTGGGGAAAAAATCTATTTCAAACCAGAAAACACTCAGTTCCAATGCCAAATGAAGGAATTTGTTCATATGAATGAAATGCCAATCTGAAACTTTAGCCAGAATCTGCATTTCTTTTCCAAATCATAAGATGTGAATCGTGTGATCAAATATTTTTATCACTTATTTAAGAATATATGAGAATCTAACAGGAAACTAAGAATTATACATAAAATTATAAGTGAAGGAATTATAACTGAGCAATTAAAAACTAACTATAATTGTCCCAAAAAAACTACAGAATACTGACTAGGAAAGCTAAAAGGTTACGTAATGGAAAACGCATATTCTTCTCAATTAAGACAAAAGAAATGTGCAATACTAGAAATAAAGAACTATAACAAGGATATCAGTATTTTCAAAATTTATTTAGATAAGGTACTGTCTAATAGACTTACAGTATTTCAAAGAAAATATAAACTATTAGCTCACAAGCAACATGGTTTTGTACAAGGAAATCTATATACACAGCATACTCAGCTATAATGGATTTCATTTTAAATTGTGTATCAGTCTTTTGATAAGAAAGTTAGTATAGGATCATTTTTAGATCATTCCAAGGCATTTGATGTAGTTGATTACTGAATTTTACAAGACAAAATGGATGGAATTGGAATATGATGGGTTGCATATGATTGGTTTCAATCATTTTTAACTAACCATAAACAATGTAATGGTGTTCCATAATATTCCATTATACTACGTACGTCTGTATGTGACCATGTGTGTGTGTGTGTGTGTGTTTCTGTGTGCATGAGAATGTATGTGTGTGCAACAATTTTAAGGCCTTTAACAAATATCATGACAAAATTAAATTTACTATGGATATGAAGAAAACAACAACATAAACTTTTTAAGTCTGACCATTCATAAAAGTAACAACAAACTTATTCCGAACTGGTATCAAAAACCTACCAACAAGGTGTCTTTATTACATACCTAAACTTAAATAAAAAGATGCAATAATTTATTATTTAGTAAATAGGGCTATCGAATTTGGCTGAGTAGATTTTCATCAACAAATTTTGAACATAGTTCATAAGATATTGGGAAATAATAAGTAGAAATAAGTATAATTTATGAAGAAATCTGGAAGTTAACTTCAGAAACCTCTTCTGTCAAGGTTTTTCAGGTGACTCTGCCTTTTCTCCTCTGGGCTGTCTACAAACCTCTCCTGTTCATAATTGAAAGGTGGTCAAGCACAGGTGTTCCTAGATTTATATCATTCCAAAATGGAAGTGTTTTAGCATTTCTTTCCTTTTGGCATGGCCTTTCTATGTAGACTATTCTTACATAGACTAACTTCTTTGTTACAATTTATTATGTATGTACTCCCAACATATGTGAGGTATGTGTTCACATGTACATGGTGCAATTTCATATGTGCACTGTTTCTAGTCCTTCCTCTTTCAAAGGTTATGAATTTATCTCACCCTTATAATATTTACTGGGGACATTTTATTCACTTTTTAACTTGATACATTATACAATTATTCTGTTTCTTTTAGTCTTGAACAAGAGACAAAACATAATCTCAAAATGTTGGTTGCAGCATAAAATTTTTTCAATTGTTGATTCACGCCAATAAATCTAAAAATTAATCAACTGTCAATAATAACTTCTGAACAACTTTCCCCAAGCTAAAATAATGATGCAAGATAGGAGGAACACAAGTAGTTAACAACTTTTTAAAACACTACACATACTACCATTACCATGTACAATGTCAAATATACTTCTATATACCAGGAAGCCATTTGAACCTTCTTGTAATTCAAGGAATAAAGATTTGTTTGTAATACCTGTTAACACTCACTTATGTAAAAATAACTTCTTCCATACTGGATTTCATTTATACAGTCATTTGCCTAAGCACATCAAAGATCTATCTTGAGTGAGGTGCACTTGAAGGTCTGTATTCCTTCTTATCTGATCATCACTATTACAGTGCTGAAGAATTTCTAAAGAATAGTTGATTAACATACAAATTTACAGTAAAATGGAGTATGTATACATTATATTGTTTTATTTAGGTATGTAATTGTATAATTGAGCAGATGTTTTTGTAATATTTTTTGTGTATGATTATCCAGATAAAGAAAAAATGCTTATATATTTAATTGCTATCATAAATTTTTAATAATTAAAAATTGCTATCATAAATTTATGTACTGTTTTGTTATGAATGTTTCTAATGCATATAATGTTATTATTGTACTGTATTGTATCAATATGACATGTCCCATGTCATGATATGACCAGTTGAATTAAATAAATATTCTATTCTATTTAATTCAAAAATGGGTGAAGTCTCAACTCTGAAATTTGAGACTGCAATAAATTCATTGAAATTAAAAGACTTATTGGAAAGTTAATTTGAAAGGAAGTCATAAGTAAATTTCAAAGAATCAAGGAATTGGATTGTTAACAACAGCAGCTGTTGCCTTGTACCTGCTGTTGTTGCATCTGCTGCTGATTTTGCTGTTTGACCTGGAGGGCAGAGGTCCTCTGAGTTGCTGAAGCATATGTTTTAGGGACAAGTCCTTGCGATTGCTGTTGTTGCTGACGCTGTTGAGATTGATGATGCAATATCTACAGCAGAGCAGAAGCACAAGACTTAATGGAAGAACTAGCATTGCATTACTGGTACCAAGCAAATTACTAAGCTAATTACTGTTTTCTATGCATTAAAGAAAACAACAAGATTTTTTTACCAAAGCATCACCTATTTTTTTTTAAAAAAGCACAAAAATGCAACAAAAAGGCTTCTATTCATCTATTATATGTACCAACTATAATATGACCTAGAAAACATTAAATATCTAGCATAAAAAAAGGTTGAAAAATGAGCATATTTAACATCATAATCTATTAATAAATGAACATTTAGAAGTGAAGATTAAACATATTTTTAATTACAATTCAGCTAAACAAGAATAAAATCCTTTGCTATTCCTTTCATGGAAAAGAAAAACAATTACTCGCCAGATCATTCAACTGAATTTTTATTATTAATAAAGTATGTAAAGGTGACTGACAATAGGTAAATAATAATTATTTTTAAACAGTAGTTATATATATTATACTATTATTTATTTATTAAAGAAGATGCCAGCAGGATAAACTCATTAATTGACTTATTTATAAACAATTTGCCCAATATACATGCCCAAAGTAACACAGCATTGTTATTTCAGTTAATTAATACTATGCAATTCTGTACAAGATTTGCATATTTGACTCGTCATACACGATTGTTATTGTGTATGTGACATTATTGATTTTTTATTATTATTATTATTATTATTATTATTATTATTATTATTATTATTATTATTATTATTATTATCATCATCATCATCATCTTTAGCTTGTAGCTCATTGCCATTTTGTTCTATTTACAATTTATTTGTTAATTTAAAAAATATATGTATTTTGGGGGGGAGGGAATTTTTTATATTTTTGATATGTCATCACAAGCTTGTAAGATGTAAATTAAGTAAAACATAACTCGTCATGCCAGTTATTAACTGTCATGATAAGATTTTATTCTGTCAATTACGTACAACTAAATCTTCACTGATACAGTAAACTACCTCATCACAAGATTCAAATTTGTAAGAAATGTATAATGTTCCTGTTACACTCATTCAGTTGTTTGGTTTTAATTTAGTTATTTTATTTATTTTTTGCTTTACAATTAATTTGTAGTTTAGATAATAATTGGATGATTGTGATTTCTATTGCGTGTTAAGTTTCATCAATTCAAGATTTTATGTTGTGAATTATATACAACTAAATCTTCATTTAGGATACTGCAGTTATCACAAGATGATAATTTGAAAATAATGTATCTTTTACTCTGAGTCAGTTTCATTATTTGTTTGTTTGTTTTTGTTATATTTTACATAATATTTTGTAATTTGTCAACAAGTAATTATGTCATTTGTTAATTGATCTCTGTATAGACCACACTTTGTTTGTGTATCTTATTATTTGTTTTGATTTGTCACTAGAAGTCTTCAACATGCTAATTAAGTACATCTTAATACTTATTTTTGCCTGTTGCCAACTGCCATGTAGTTTTATTTATTTACAATCCATTTGTTAGGTTAGAGAATAAGTGGATCATTTTGTTTTTGTTTTGCCTGTTGAGTTTTGTCATTTTAAGATCTTATGTTGTTAATTATATATGTTGTTAATTACTATAAATCTTCATATTATAAACAGCGGTTAACACAAGGTGGTGGCGGTGGCGGTGGCGGTGGCGGTGGCGGTGGTGGTGATAGTAGTAGTAGTAGTATTAAAGATGAAGTTGAACTAGAATTTGCCAATTTAGGAAATCTCTTCCATGATTAGACATAAAATCTCTTACAAGACCAGCTATTTTATTGGGTATAGATCCCATCATATCTCTTTTAGTTGACATAATTTTATAAAAAAGGTTTAAACAAGTTGGATATGATGAAAAACCAACAATAAATGTCAATTCAAACATACAATCAATTATTTTCCTCATTATTTTAAAAATTATAATTATTATAATACAATTAACCCAATAACTTGATATTAATATTTCTTACATTATTGTATTGAATTACTAATATTATTGTATTAATTATTTACATCGCATAAAATCATTAGCATTGGTCAGAGTTGCCAATCTCATAACTTGCACCAAAAATGAATTGTAAATATTTGTGAAATATTCATGAATAGTTTACAATTTATGAAAATGTTGTACAAAAAGACCAATCTCTTTTGACAGAAATTAATAATAACAAAGTGGGGCAACAGAATGACTCAATCTTTCTTTTATTAGTTAAGTTTCCTATTCTCTTTGAAGTATAAAAGACAACCAAGGCCTCTCATACCACCTACCACTCCTCTTGAAGATGGTAAAGAGCACCATTGCACTTCTAAAACATAGCGTTGTCTTATCTTGGTACTATACTTTTATACATTTGCCTCACCTCAGTGTTTGAACAATTGATCTGGTACGGTATGGCATTCCCCCATGCCTCAAATACAACCAAAAACATTCATGTCTTACAGAAATCACTGAAGAACATAAAACTTACAGCATATATAAGTAATGAAAATGGTTTAGCCTTCTACTAATATCGACTTTGAGGAAATTGTGTTTAACAGAAAAACAAACAAACAAAAAAAAACCTAAATTTCTTTACATTTTCTGCATTTCTGTCCTCCCAGTCAGTTCATGGACTTAAAGAATATGATAGAAGAGTAAAACCTACAGGCAAATTTCCATTCCAAAATTTGGAATAGTTTTTGAGAAAATATAAATTTTAGAATTCCTGAAAACTGGAAATTTTCACAGAAAATTTCAAGTTTTCAAGAAACTTCATTAGACATCATTTGAAGCACTTGTACTCATAAATGCAATAAGGTGTAAAGAACATCTGCAATGTAAATACTATCAACTCAAGATACACAACATGACAAATAACATTTTGATATATTCTTTTGATTTTCCAAAAATTTCACAAATTAATTTTTTTTTTTTTTTAAAGTTACATTTGTGAAATTTTTGGAAAATCAAAAGAATCCATTAAAATGCTATTTGTTATTTTATGTTGTGCATTCAGCATCATCCAGGCTGAAAATTTAATGAACATATTGGATCATTTGTGAGAAAAGTGTTCTGTATTGTCTATATTTCACTCACAATTTGCGCAAAATCTAACAACACTTTTAAAGAAATACACATGATATTAATTAAAGATTTAATTGTTAAGAACAAATTTCATTTGAAGAAAAAATCCTCACAATACTTTTGTTGTAAAGACGGTAAGAGGGCCTAAAAAATGTCAAACTTTTGCAATTTTTGAAAATTAAGAGTGAAGTTTGTGCCCATGTCATCTTTAAAGGCATATTCCACTCTTCTCTTACAAAAAAAATTGGAACCATTATTAAGAAAATTTTGAAAATGGTCCTGGGACTTCAAGTAAAGTACTTGCAAAAATTTAAAGAATATTTTCCAAAATCAGAGGGTTTTAAGTCAGTGCAGACAGACCAAAGAATATACATTTTGACAAAATTGCTACAAATAGTTTAGGTGTTGGTGTTTTCACAAACACACAAAAGATGTTTTGAAAAAGAAAAAACAAACACTTTTTCACTAATAGGGGGATCCAATATGTGTATTTTTGTAAAATCTCAAAATCAATATTCCGCTTTCCCGTCTATACTCCATATAAGACTATGAATGCATCCCAATATGAGAAAGTGAGACAGTGAAGATGAAAGAAAATGTCAGACTTGTCACCTGCTGTTGCTGGGCCAGCTGCTGCTGTGCTCGCTGGGAGCCTGCGGAGAAGGACTCCCACACGATGAGGCCACACGCCCTTGGGGTGGCGGGTGCGTTGCTGCCTTTGCTCTTGTGGCTGCTGCCGTTGCTGCCACCTCCACTCGGCTGCTGCTGCTGCTGCTGCTCTTGCTGCTGTCGCTGTTGTTGTTGCTGTTGTTGCTGCAGCTGCATGCGTTGAATGTGTTGAACCTATCAATTTTGTTTTGTTTCACACTATTCATCAACAACATTTCTGACTTGTAGTAGGGTTTTAAATAATAGATAATTTTAAAATGGAAAATATGATTACCAGTAATTACCAACAAAAATAATCATGTTTCAAAAGAGATTTGTTGCTGCATAAGTATGAAACTTTGTTCTTCCAGCACCAACAATAGATATTTTGGTAACAGTAATTTTTATCAATTTCAAACCTAGTGGTTACCTATATTGCTGACACAAAGCTTTGGTGTAGACCTGTAGGCCAGGATTTCTTGAAAATCACTACAAAAATTCAAACTTCACAAAGGCTTTATTGACTATCTAATTGCAGTATAAAATTTCTCTGGTTCTCACATCCAATCTTAATTGTATGCATTGGGTCAAGAAAACTAAAGTTCCAAAACATGCTAGACCTGTGAGGGACTTGGCACTAAAAATATCATCTGATAATTGCAAGTGTATATTCACTTGATGCACCTTGACAACTTTTTATACCATTTTTCCCCCCACCCCCATCACAACTATGTTTTTAAAATATAATTTGTCTTGAATATTCAAGTAGATAACTGTATGAAGATTAAGTGAAAAACTAATATCTAATTTTGAAATGTGGCACACATCTTCACATAAAAATACAAATTATATAAAGGGCAACTGAATCATGAAATTAAACATGATTATTTAAAAACATTTGAAAACAAAAATCATTTGATCAACTGGTTTATTGACGGATAAACTCACTAAAGATTTTTCATATTTCCTTAAAGAAATGACTTCATACAATCTTCCAAATAAATAAATCATTAAAAATTGTATGAGTATGACTCTTTAGTTAAAAAGAAATATACGTTAACAAAAAATGACAAAATTTTAAAGACTTTATTTTTTAGCAAGACCCTACCACTTTATGCCCTTCTCCTCAAAGACCATGCAATCTGGAACAGACTGAGATTGCTGTTTATCCCTAGAGTTGTCTGGGCATTTCTAAATTAAGAATAAGAGAAAAGTTTTTAAAATAATAATAGTTTACAAAAATGATTACAAGCAAAATATAACACAACTAGAGAATAAAATTCTCAAAAGCTTACTTGGGACTGTTGTAGAGAGTAAGGGTTACGGTACACATAGCTGTGGATGGGTAGGTCCACTCGAGGAGCCACTGCAGGACCAGAGATGAAGATGGCTGCCGCTGCAGTGGTGGAGGGAGCCATATTGTTTCCAGAAGCAGAGCTGCAGAGAAGCATAAAAAATATGTATATGTATATGTGTGTATATATATACACACACACATATATACATATATATATCATATTACTTTTGGCACATAATTTTGTTTTTTAGAATAAAAAGCACTCTGGAAATTTGCAATGGCGTGTTCCCCTCTTTAAAGATTCTAGTGCTTAGTACTGAAATTACAATGAAATAGAAAAAATGTTGAACGTCCAGTCAAAGATGGCAAACAAGTACTAATGACAAGCCCAAAAATTTAAAATCAGTGACACATGTGAGTGGTCAAGATTAGCTGCTCTAACAATTAACAGATGCATTTTTTACTCAATGAAAAACAATTCTAGTTAACAGGAATTTCAGGATGGATGATAGCAGCATTCCAACTGGGTTCTCTGTTGGCAAAATCATTTAACTTTATTTAATTGACCAGTACACTCTGTCCATTCTGACAGACCAGGAAACATAATAAACAAATAAATAAAAGCATTTTTGTCAAATAATTTTTACTAATAGGAAACTATAAAAACTATGAGTAATTATACTTTCAAGGAACTCTCTCTACTTTATTCAGCACCAGTGTACTTTGTCCTGATCAATATCATCAATGAATGTTCACATGTTAAAAAAATTATTTAAATCTGACAAAGTTTAAAAAATTCACTAAGATTTTTGGTTCATTATTACTAAAAATTCAAAATAAATAAATTATATTGTTGACTTTACATTACATAATAAATTATGAGATACACAGAAAAAGTAATAAAATATTAAGAGTCAGGACTTCAATTTTAGAATTAATTTTTTTTATTTATACTGTACTTTATTTTTATTTCACTTTCTATTTTGTCTATTCTGATCACTTTTAAAATTTCTCCTGATTTAAATTAATTTTTCCATTAATTATATGATTTTCTATTCGAAAAAAGAAATAAAATTGAAGTTATCTAAGAACTGAAAAGGAATATGGTATATCATTTTCTTACTAAAATCTTTCCTTAAAAATATATAAATAAATAAAAATGACATGTAGATAGATAAAAGTCAGTTAATAGGAATTACATATTCCTGAAAAGCACGAAATGACTTTTTTAGCTATTAATTTACTGTGAATTTCATAAGTTCTTTCCAAAAATCGCTTGTACCTGGAACTGGCAAGGCGCAGGGCATCGTGAAAGTCCTTGCGAATCTGACGCTGCCACATGTTGTTGGGGAGGGAACGTTGAGTCTGTGGATTGGCTCGCGGTTGTTGGAAAAGGGGAATTCCATTTAGAGCTGAGGTGCTGCCATTGTCCCCTCTGGGCACTTGTGGCTGGGGCTGTTGGTTAGAGGGCTGCAACAAAAAAACAGCTGAAAAGGGAAAATGCACAATGTATGTACTATTATGTTAACTAACCATCCATCACAATAATTTTTTTCTGGACACAGTATTTACATTTCTTATGATTAATATTTTGGAAGAAAATTTTCACAAAGGATCTGACGGAGATGAACATTGAGAATTTTTAAAATATAATAAGAATTTATTAGCAAAGGAACGGATAACTCATTTCAATGAGTTTTTATCATAGCATACAAAATATAACACCATATCAACAAGTTTGCTATTGTACTCTAATCCATGGTATTAATTATACATACATATTACAAGAGAACAAATTTATAAGCAAAACTGTGTCTCATGTCTTAGAAAATTAATTTTAGACCAATACTTCAGGTTTTTATGGTAAGGACAACTGTTTTGCAAGCATTCAAAGAATATGTGCCAATGATAAATTTTTCAGAATTGTCTTTATAAGTGCAGAAAGAAAATAACATTGTGAAATTAGCAATGCAATGTTGCCTAGATTGTAGGCGGCAAAGCTAACATCATAAAAAGTTATTCCTGAATTACAATATCTACTTGGAAACTATTACACTGTAATACAAATATCTGTGATAAGACACAAAATCTTAATGGAAGGTTCACCCACCTCTGTCTAATTTATATCATATCTTTTATGAAACAAAAATGTTCAAAGAATGTGCACAACAAAGATCAAAATTAAACACCATAAGTGTTGGAGTAGACATGAGAAATATTTTCTTGTGATTCTTGAATCACATAGGCCCACAATGATGCATCACTACTCAACATGTTGTTCATTAGGTAATGCATATTGTATCAAAAAATCAAATCAAATATGTATCCAAATATCACACAGAATGGTGAGATATAAGATGGAATCATCACATGCAAATTCACAGTTTGTAGTTTATGACTACATAAACACATCTCCACCTTCACCAGCTGGGGAGAAAAAAAAAAGCATCCTAGCAGATCTAGTATGTGTATGTAATTACATATTTCTTTACTCATTAGTTATCAAATTTTTGTCATGTTTATGAATAATGATGAAGTGATTTGAAATCTATTTGATTATCCATATTTGCCCATATTCAAAAATATGTAGTGCACATATTCCCATATTTAAGAAAAACTCATATTTCATTATAATTTGAACTTTTTACGTGCAATATGTGCTATATTGTAGCCTTTCAAAAGCATTCTTGGAAGAAAATAGTTTGTCTTTAAGTGCAAGAAAGGGGTAAATCAGATTTTCAAGATTTCTGGGTTAACCTAAAATGTATTGCAAGTTCAAGATTGACTCCGTTACTACTTCTGAGGTTGAGCTTCATTTTAACAAGCTCAAAGCAATATTAAGAGATAAAAGGAATAGTTTCATGTGTGTTTTCACTGCTTTACATATGGCCAATTATCAGAAAAGGATTAGAAAACTTGCTTTCAGCAACACAATAATGTTCAGTCTATTTTCATACCTACATGATTAAATTTCGTTCTGTAGCTAGTACTAAAATTAATTTATTTTACTTTTCTACTTACAAAACTTACAAATGTGATTAATGCATTATTTTTACTATTTTTAAGTTTTCAATTGTTAGCCCATATTTTACTCCACATTCTCAACATTTTTACTCCATATGTACATATTTTGGTTCATGTTTCTCCATATAAAATCTAGCCCTCGACATTAAGACAGCACCTTACCTACCCTTACTGCTCTTATCTTTATCTTATCATCTCAGTGTTGTATTGAATGAATGTAGTAAAATTGTCAGAGCGCGGTCTTTTTACTCAACATATGCCATTTTTACCTGTCTATGAAAACTTTATTACAACACTCAAAAATTGACTGTTCTATTCCTGTCACCTGTAGTATGTGCACTAAATATATTATTTCTTGGGAACACACAGAAGAAGATGGACTTGACAGCATTGGTTTATTAGTTTACATTCAAATCCATATGTCAGCTTTCAGGGTTATCTCTGCATTCACCAATGTTGTGAGACAGTCTTTCAATGAAGTCACACGATTAGATTGTAGTTGGAAAAAAATCCACTTTCATTTAGTTGTTCATGATGAAGTCTTATGTCCACAATCTATGTTTCTCTTCAGTTTGCTAATATGAAATTCTAGGATGTTAGAAAGGTCAATTTCCCAGATTTTGAACACAATAAAAAAAAATAAAGACAACTTTTTTGATTTATGAAATTTTATTTGCTCACATGTTGATATTATGAATAAGATCTGATCACAAATTTAATTGTAATATCAATACAATGTAAAATTTATGAAACACAAATAACATTTACGATTTTTGAGTAAATAAAATAAAATACAGTAATAAGGCTTAACAAAATTTCGCAACATTAACAGATTTACTTCTCTCAGCAAATACTATTACCTATGCAGTGAACAACCCAGAAGATTCACAATATTTGTTTCTCTTATTGCTTGTATTTTTTAATTTTTTAATTTTTATTTTATTTATTAATTTATTTATTTTGTAGCATCCAGATTGTGGATTCAACTTTATAGAGTCAAACTTTGACTGAGCCTCTAAATACATTCAAAAATTCAAAAAGAAATCCTAAAAAAAAAAAAATCAGTCTTCAGCGGGGCACTTACCTAAAAATCTGTTTATGTGAATTGCACAATATTTTTATTTTAAATAATTTTGATATTCTTCATTTCCTTTTGTGTGATCAGTGGAACAGGGAGAAAGGGGCATTGCGTCTGGGGTCAGGGTCGGGGTCAGGGGCAGGGGCGAGCAGGGGTCGGCCTCTGTAGCGAGCACTCACCGCAGAGGGCTGCCTGGGAAAGGCGATGAGCAGAGGTGTGGCGCTCACTGACTGGAACAGCTGCAGAGGGCCTCTGTGCTCAGCAGCATCGTCCACGGGGGCGTGCCCTTGGGGCTGCACACTCCTGCACATTGGAACAATAACTCTAACTGAGCTAACTGCGTGTATCATTAATAACCTTAAAACAATACTTGCACAGAGCAGCAGAATGTCTCTTCAATTATAAATAAGAAAGTATACCTGCATACACACCCCTTGCGGTGATCTTTGTTTTACCATAGCAATTTTATGAGATGTGTAAGTGGGGTACGTACAATTAATCTCCAAAAAGTTGATGTATAATAATGTAAATTAATTGGAGATGGGAGACCCATCATCAAGTCAATTTAGATATTTAATAGCAATACAATAGAAAAAATAATATGAAGCAAATAATTTTCTCAAATTTATTTATAATAAAGCCAGCTCATTAAACCCAATTATAAGCGGTACACAACATAGCTTAACTACACTAATTAGTAGGCGGTAGATTTTAATGAAATGTTATTTTTTACCTTATCACTTTAGAACACTGCTGTTTCGTATAGAAATTCATTTTATGTTATGATAAAACAAAATAACCCATTTTATACATCTTTTTTTTTGATTTTTCGTTGATTTTGGCTGTTAAGTAATTTTTAAACTTTTTATATCTTTTTAATGCATTTTTCACTGACTTCAATGAATTTAATATCATTTGAATGGTACTTGCTTCTAACAATATTTACGAGGTGCAACGAATTTTCACCACAGAATTTCTGAGTAGCGTAATCGATTTCTTCGCTCATGTATTGTAATGTCAGCTGTTGTGAGTACTATGTAATCTAAGGTTCCTATGATGCCTATTGGCACCATTGTCAGTTCAACTAATTTCGCAAAAATAAAGGCAGAGATTTTTTTTTAAAGATGTCCAAACCAAAAGGTTGCAAGCTGAGTTCACTTAAAACAAAACTAAGCAGTCTCGCTTCCATCATTATGACACCTACCTGTTCATGTTGTTCATCAGAATTGGTTTTGATAAATTTTTTTACACCATTTTTCTTTGTTTTTAGGGCATTTTTGAAGCATTTCAAAATCATTTTATTGATCATTTTCAGCAATATTTAGGTCATCAAAATCCACCCTCTACTAATTAGTAGTAATCGAGAAATATATTTCAAAGGCAAATTATATAATATTGTTATACAGGTTAATAATAATTCTTGAAATTTTGATGAAAGAAATTATCATAGTGAAGTGGCTCTAATCAGCTAGGCTCTGGAAATAAAATTTAGACAAAAGATATTCATCTTCTGTGAATAGCGTAAGTTCCTGTGTCTTTGTACTCCAATTTCCACCAATCAAATACCTATTATAATTATGAAAATGAAATAAATAAATACATTTTTATTAAATTATCTATTATACAAATACTTTTTACTTGTGACTTTATGTATCTTCGTTAAGTCAAACAGTGTCAAACAATAAGCAAGGATATAGTTTTTACTAATTTTGTTTGGAAATAAAAGCCATTCTGTTCTATCTCAATGGAATAAGTAATAAATAACTAAAAATCTGTACATTTTACATTCAATATAAAAGGAAAATTCTGAGAGGTGGCGACCTATCATTGCACACCACTCTGGAATGCAGTTGGGTAACTCGGATGTAAAACCGAGATGATAAAATTTCTTGTAGTGCTTTTTCTATTCAATTTGTGTGTATATATGACAGCTAGGCGTGTTCCAGTAAGGGGCTTCTAGCATACTTGGCCAGCCTCATCTTTCTTTGACGATTGTAATGGAAAGCTACAACGCCAGCTCACCCGCGCAGGTCGCCGTCGAAGAGGCGAACCAGCTCGTCGCGCAGCCAGGGCGGGTGCGCGGGCGCGGGCGGGGCGGGCGCGGGGGCGTGCAGGTGGGCGGTGAGCGCGGCCCACAGGGGCCACACCTTGTCCACGTAGGCGCGCACCCGTCGCATCTCGGCCAGCAGCGCCGCGTCGCCCACCACCGCCTCGTACGCCGCGCCCCGCCCCGCCCCCGCAGCCTGCAAGCAACAGACAGACAGACACTTCAAAATAGATTGAATTACATGCGAGCGAATACGTCGCTAACAAGTCTTGCCCAAAACGCTCCTTTCTTTCTGAATTCATAATTCACCTTGTAAAAGGCTTAGGGTGGGGAAACCATAATTATGAAAAGTTGAACAGAATACACTTCTCCCCTACATACATACGTCACGCACAGTTTCTGACTAAATAAAAATAAAAATATAAGAAGTCCAAAACGGGCAGTACCTGCGGGCCGAGGGCGGGGCCGAGGGCGGGGCCGAGGGCGGGGCCGAGGGCTGCGGCGATGCGGCTGCGCGCCTTGGGCGCGGGTGGCGGCGCGGGCGGCGGGGCGGGCGGCGGCGGGCGCAGGCCCAGGCGCGATGCGGGCGGCGAGCATCGCCCGAGCTCCCTGCAACAACGCCCTCGCCACTGCGCCTCACAGCAACGTTGCTTCTCAAGGGAAATGAACGAGTGGGGCCACAGCGGTGGTATTCAAAGAGTGAGGCGCGAGAACGTAATAATTAAACAAAATAATGTTATTATGCTTAATAAAACTAGAATTATGAATAAATGGCTACTGGACTATGTATGTGCGTTCATTACTTTTAACGAATGGAGGAGAAAACATTTGTGTGTGATCGTATTGCTTTCAATGAAACCAACATTGTCAACAATCAGTTACTTTTACTTTCCCATATACATAGTATAGGGAAAGTTATGTAATGCTGCGGAAAATCGATTTCGAGATTTCAACGGAAATACTTGTTTTTTTTACTACACCCTGACACAGAAAAAGTGGTTCTTTTCAAAACGCCAGTCCGTCCGTGAACACTACTCGCGCCTTAACCATGCGCAAGGTTTTTTCCAAATTGAAGAAACCCCTGTCCATCTGGCTCGAGTCGAAACTTTGGGATTCTGAAAAACATTCTTTAATATTTGGGGGTATTTTACTTGAAGTCCCTTCGACATTTTCCAAATTTTCTCAAAAACGGCTCCTTTTTTAAATTTTATTATTGTTATTTTTAAATTTCTTGTGAGAATAGTTGCATACACTTATAAAAGTGGCATAGGTCCAATTTTCACAGAACTCAGTCACAGAACTTTTCACAGTCCAATTTTCGAAAATGTCAATAGTATGATTTTTTTGGTGTCTTCCTACAACTACAAAATTAAAAATAGAGATTTTTCCTTCAAATGTAGTCTGCTGTACACAACTGCAAGAAAAAAGCCGCATAGGATTTTTTTCACATTTTCTTATAGATTTCAACTTGGTTAAAACGACAATATTATCAAAATTATTTCATATCATGTTCACTTAACTTAAAAACAAAATTCGCCACACATAACACAGAAATGTTTTTGTGGAGAAACCAAAACTTACTTACCAAAGGATAAAGATCAATGGTCATTACGTTTATATGGACTTATTAATCTTTGTATTTAGAAACACCCTTGGAAAGTAAGAAAACTCTCTATCCCAGCAATAACCACACGTTCAGCTTTTCTCGAAGACAAATATCGATAGCTTTCAGTATATATTGATAGATTTCAACTCTCACAATGAAATAAGAAATTAGGGTGCGTGGGAGTTCATTATATTAATTATATATTTCATTTAAACTTGGAGTTTGGAGTGTATAAAACCGTTAATAATAAACGATAAAATATCTGCTACCCACTACTCTACGGCTACTCTTCCTTTCAAAGGGAAAATCACAATATTTATGTTGGCATCGTCAACTAGCTCGTAACATGAACTCCATCAATTCCCTTCTTTTCTTGTTGCGATTTTATGAATAAAACTCTAAACCCAAACTTGTATCCCCCTAAATTATATACCCCTTATATTAATCAAATACCCTTTAATTTAAATTCTTGGTTAGTATATCTGCTTCAAGTTCAGATTATTTTACATAATTCAACTTTATATTTTTTTGTTCTTTTACAAAATAACATTTTCGTTGAAAATCGTATTTTCGTATCGTTTACTTTCGTATTTTATTATCCAATCCATAACTGATCATTCTGCTTGATTTCTTCTAGTAAATTTGAAGTCGATCTTGCTTTACAGTGTTCAGGCGGCGAAATAGTCGAAGAAAAGTTGAGCATTCTAATAGAAGCTGCCACGAAACATCACCTCTTCTATCAGTAGTTTTTTGTCAGAGAAGAGTGTTCTGGAACGAGACGACACACAATTGACAAAGATTGTTACTTGGAGAAAGAATTAACGAGTATTGAAGAAATTGTCACAGTTACCTCAGTCCAAACGAAATTAAACCTTTCCTTATGAATTTCGTGGTTTTTACTTAGCTTTCTGCATTAGATGACAATGCGAGAAGGCGTCTGAGGTAGAAAATTGGCGACTTCCTAGTATTACGACAATCGCAATTTTACGCGGGGCTTCCCAGGAGCTAATGCGATCTTTCGATGACGCTCCGAACTAAAGGGAAACTGCTGACAATCTACGTCAAGGAACATTGTACGAAAGAAACGAGTGATTGGTCAACAGAGAAGAAATTCGCGCGGCTTTTTAGGGTAAATTAAGAGGTAAGTTTGAAATGTGTAATCCTTGCCTCTGAAACGCCTTCAAAGAACATCAAATGCCCCGTTCAAAACACAAGGAGCCAAATTTGAAGTAATTTGGCGGTCAATGTGCCAACAATCAGCATCACATAAGCTTACCACTTCTGATTCCAAAGTACCAATTTTTCGCTTAAGACTCTTCCAACTGACAGTCGAATTTCCAATTTTTATATTAGACCCTCCAAAAGATTTTGAATCGTAAGTTTCACAGCAACTTGCATCAGAATTGACAAACATCTCATGGAATTCATTTCCAAAATTCAATTTCAATTCTTTGGTACCTTATATGGGTCTTAAAACATGTTTTAATGCTTTCAAATGAATATCCCTGGTATCTTTGAAAGTGTACTGTACGTGAAAGCTAAATCTGGACTAGTTCCACTCACAAGATAACCAATGTTTCCTAATATTTGTTTATATAACGATAGGTTAATCTTTTTGAAACCATGAATATCATTGAATTCTTCTCCTACAACTCCAGATGTCTTCACAGGTTGGCAATTATTCATATTATTTTTATCTAAAATTTCTTCCATGAATTTCTTTTTGAACAGTTTTCTTCTTCAATTCCAATACCCAAAATATGAATATTATTCTTGAATAATACCAATACCCAAAATATGAATATTATATTTGAGTTCCTTTAGTGTAATTCCTTCCTTCAATTTCATTCAAAAATCATTAATTATAATCTTTTCCGACAACAATATTTACATAAATTACATTTCTACATAAAATCCTATGGCAATAAAATTGTTATATTCATTATCAAATACACATAGATCACATTTTGTTGTTTTCAGTCCAGCTCTCTTCAAAAGTTCTGTCAGTTTTAAAAACGAACATTTTCCTGCTTCAGGCAGATCATAAATACTTTTATTTATAAAAATAACCTCTACATTTTTCAATATTAATACCTTTAGATTTCATATCAACAATTCTAATTTACCAGTTAAATATGCTGTTTCTAAATAAATAAAACGAACTTTGTACTTTTTCATTTTTGAAATAGCTAAATACATTCTGAAAGATTCTAACTTCATAACACGATTATAAGAATTTTCATAATCTACACCTAATTTCTGACTCGAACTGTCAGCCACTAAACGAGCTTTATATTGTAACAACCCCATGGTCGACCCGACTCACCCGATTACCTCCCCAGCTGCTCTGTATGTCGTTTCTAATAGGGTGCAATGATGATAGGGCTTTTTCTCTTGCTCTAATGCATTGAGACACATGACTACATGTTGGAAGTAACGACATGAGAGAAATAAAGTTTTCAGCAAAAAAGAAAAGCATGTTTTTTTGTCATAACTCAAAATCTCAACGGATTGTTTTGAAAACTTCAGAGACGTATTCAGCACCCTAGACATTAAGGAACGAAACATGAAAAACACACTTTTTTAGTAACCTCCGCAACGACTGAAGTACCTGCGAGGCAAAGTGTTGTCCCTCGGCAATTTCTATGGCCCGCGCCCAGGCTCTCATCTGCCGTCGAGTTTTTAAAAAACTTGTTGCCTCTATATAGACACAACGCGTTTCGTAACTCCTTAAGGAGCGATGACCGCACCGTGGAGTAATACTCCGTTATTAAGCGCCCAGCACCCTCAAGGCAGGCAAGTCACGTCAGTCGCAGGTCGCGCTTGAGAAGGATGGGGCAAGGTTCAGGACGCTCCACAGGTGTTGGACAAGCTCCTGTGAAGCATGCCAACTCCTTTTGTCGTAACAATTGATTAAGCGATTGACGTCGTGCGGAGAACTCACCGTGCGAGGGCGTGGGCGCGCGCGCGGGCGCGGGCGTGGGCGCGGGCGTGAGCGCGGGCGTGGGCGGGCGCGGGCGACGGCGCGGGCGACGGCGCGGGCGACGGCGCGGGCGACGGCGGCGGCGAGGGCAGGTCGCTGCTGTCGAAGCTGCTGCTGCTGCTGCCGCTGCTCGAGTCCGCCTCCGCCTCCGCCTCTTCCTCCTCGTCCGAGTCGGGCGGCGGGGTTGGCAGCGGGGGCTGCGGCGGCGGCGGCGGGGGCGGCGCCTCCAGGCTCCTGCGCACACGGCTGTAAGCGCCCTGCACCCTCAGCGTAGCACCGTCCTCTCACCCTCCTTTGCATTTTAAATACCCTCCTTTTAGGAAAATTTTAACGTTCATTTATTTTGTCTGAAAAACCTAAATGATGTATACAGAACATTGTAGTAACAGAAATAAGACAACGCCGAAGGTAATTGTAAGCAAGTGATTGTTCATGTAGCAGTGTCATCACACAATGTTTTCCAACAATGGAACAAAATTCTATGAATTTTCATTAAAGACGTTATTAATTATAATACTTATTGAACTAGAAGTACAATACT